TGCATATCTTCTGGCTCCCTCACTGAACCAGGGACTTGGACAGAGGTCCTCATACCATCACTGGTGTTGCCCCTGAACCTAAGGGCAATGACTACACCCAAACATCCATGTGCTCTTACTCACGGGGTTCAGAAGTGCCACCTAAAGTAGGTCACTTGGGCATGTTGCATAAAAATGACAGGAAGACATTGTTTTGGAACAGCCTCCTGTACTGGGCCCCAACAGGCAGGCTAACGTCAGAATGGAGTTACCCATGCTGAGGTTTCTCAGCACTAGAGCTATTTATCAGACCTGAGAAATCAGGGTTACAGAGACTGCAGCCTAACTTCCGCAATAGGCTTCTTAACCGTGCGGTGATCCTTACACAACAGCCACCAGAGCCTGGGATGTAGCTCAGTAGCAGAGCACTTGCCTCACATGCCCCAGGCCTGGGCACAACCCCAGCACCTCAAAATCAAATAAAAGTGGCGAAGTTGGTGTTAATCTGTTATTTTCCTGTTTGACCTGTCTCCGAATTCCTGCCTAACCAGGAAAGTGACTTTCAAATCATGATCCACTTTTTGTGTGTTTCTCTCTTTTCAGTCTTTAAAATCAATCTTCTTGGCTCAGCCCACACTTATCCTATTTTGTGGAACAAAGTGTTGCCCAATTCTAGAATCAGAGATAAAGAAAATTAAGATCTTTAACCCAGCCAGGTGTGGTGGTGCATGCTTGTATTCCCAGCTACTCTGGAAGCTGAGGTAGGAGGATTGCTGCCTTTGAACTTGGGCAACATAGCCTCAAAAAATAAAATAAAATAAATAAAAAAGGGCTGGGGATGTAGCTTGGTGGTGGGGCTCTTGCTTAGTATGTGTGATGACCTGGGTTCAACCCAATTGAAATGAATGAATGAAATAAACCAGCTGAGCCTGGTGGAATAGCCTGAAATTCCAGCTCCTAGGGAGGCTGAGGCAGGAGGATCACTTAAGCCCAGGAGTGCCAGGCCAGCCTGAATTACAGAACATTAATTTTTTTTTTGAGATTTCATTACCCCATCTTTAAAAAAAATCTTTAAACGTGTTGGAATATGTCCTCTGACAAGCTTCAAATGGTCTAGAAGGTTCTACCATCTGAATCTAATTTTTGTGTGAGGCTCCTCCTTCCCACTCCTTGCATGTCTATATAATTAAAAATTGTCTTCCTTCCCTCCTGTTCACCTGTCTTATGTAGGTTTAATTCCTGGGCCAGCCACCAAACCCAGAAGGGTAGAAAGATTTTTTTTTTCTCATGCTGTAGCCTTGCAATGGAGACGAGGAAGCCTTTCACAGCATCTCCCATTGAGCAAAGGTAAGACACGGAGACCTGTGAGATGGAAAAAGGATGGGAGAGGGGCTACAGGACCCACCTGGACCAGCACCCACCTGCCATTCAGCCAAGGTCTGTTCTTCCTGAGCTTGCAGTTTCTCTGTCTTGGTCATCTCCTCCCGAAGGTACTCCATGTCCTCCTCTAACTTCAACTGTGGGGTACACAAAACCACAGAACTTGGGGTCAGTGTTTCCCCCACCTCTGCCCCAAACCTGAACTGTAGTCTCTGGAGCTGCATTGACTCCAAAGACCTTCCTAAGGAAAAGCATGGGGTTCAGATACACCACCTAATGACACACAAGCCAGCAGTGATGTTCAGAGCCCACACCCTGACACTCACCTCTGAGCACAACACCCAGCACCCCACCTCAGAGCCTGATACCCTAACACACAACTGTGCCATAAGCATCATTTGAGCTAAAGGAACTAAAAAAAAGTGGAGCTGCAAGACTCCCTCTGGTTCATCCCTTCTTCTTCCTGAAGAGGGAGGAAACCACCATGTGGAAAACATTCTCCCTATATCAGGAGAAAAGCGAAGGTCTCCTGGTGGGGTGGGAGGTGAGAACCCAGAGTAAGCAACACAGGCAAGCCTGGTGAAACTCATTCTCCTCCTGCCACTTCACCTGTGACTGCTCTAGGCTGAGGCCCTTTGACTTTAACTTTTACAATTTCCCCCTCTTTGCTCAAATCAGGAGAGTTGTCCTGTAGTGTTCAGGGACACCAACACGCTTAAGTTGGCCCAGACCATGGAGGCCTGATTACCACCCGTTTTGTCCATGAGCAAGAGGACACTTGCACCACATGATCCTGCATGTGGGGCTGTTAGTGCTGCTCCTGAGCCCCAATCCACAAACACACTTCTGCCCCAGATGCCACCCACCTGGTGCCCACCTTGTACTCCTGAACAGCCTCCTCCACCGGCAGCACCATGTGCAGCCGGTGCTCCCGAGCCTCCCTGCAGACAACACAGATGGGAGTCTGGTCCTCCTGGCAGAACAGCTTGAGGGGCTCCTGGTGCATCTGGCACAGGTCCCGCTTATGGAGCCCAGGGTGCTGGCGTGCCATCTCAGCCACCTTGGTGAGCAGGAGGTTGGGCCGCAGGTTCCTCTGAGGGGACACCTCCCTGCACTCTGGGCAGGGGAAGGAGCCCTTCTGCTTCTTTCTCCCCTTCTTGCCTTTAGTCTTCTCCCAGCTTGTCTGGATGCACTTGCGGCAGAAGTTGTGGCCGCAGGTGGTCATCACAGGGTCTGTGAAGTAGTCTAGGCAAATGGAGCATGTGGCCTCCTCCTGCAGCTTCCTGGCAAGTTCCACAGCATCCATGTCTCCTGGAGTATGAGGGAGGGTTTCTGTGAAACTCCTGGATAGCAGCTTGGCCTCAGACCTGGTGCTTGGGCTGGCTCCCTGTCTCTACACACTGCCTGCCCCTTCTAAAAGTCACCCTTCATAGATGAGGACAGGAGCCTGACACAACTCTGACTTGAGAATTATTTGAACTAGGGAACTAAAACAAAAGTGCTATTGCAAGACTCCCCCTTGTCCTCCCCCTTGTTCTTCCTGATGAGGGAGGAAAGCCAGTTAGGGAGTTGACAGCTGTTTGATTCATTTTATTGTATTTTAAAATTTATTTTTGATACTGGGGATTAAACCTGGAGTGCTTTACCACTGAGCTACATCCCCAGTCCTTTTTATTCTTTGAAACAAGGTCTCACTAAGCTGCTGAGGGATTCAACAAAGATGCTAAGATTGGTCTCAAACTAGCGATTCTCCTGCCTCAGCCTCCTCAGTTGTTAGGATGATAGGTTCCACCACACACGGCAGCTGTTATTTTTAGATTCCTTAATAACAGGTAGAAATGCCTCCTGGAAACTACAAGGACCCTTTTTAGCTAAATGCCACAGGGCCCCTCCAACCCATCCTCCAGCCTGACCCTAGCCCTGGGTTATCTTCAGCCTACCCACCCAGTCTTCAAAGAGAATCCTGCTGAGTAGCCCCACTTGGGTACTTGGTCAAGCCCTCCTTCCCTCCTTTGGTGTCTAATCCTGATCTGCCTTTTGGGTAGGGGTACCCTGCTGGGCCAGTTTAGCTAGAAGCCCCCCTCCCTTCAAGTTTCCCCTTACATGGCTTCCATCCTCTCAGCCACAGTGTGTCCCTGCCTGCTTCTGCTGCGTTTTGAGGGAGCCCCATTTCTGCACTAAGGAAACACTTCTATTGCAACATGTTCCAATAAAGAGCCTTTTAAACATTGTCAGAATAATTTTTTTTTCTTTAACAAAACCCCAGTACAACAAAAGAAGGAGAACTTCAGGGAGATGACAGCTTTTCCATTAGGGAGCAAAGTGTAGTGTGGAAAAGACAAGCATGTGCATGACTATGCACGTGCACGTGCACGCGTGCGCGCACACACACACACACAAATACAGGTGCTTACATGCACACATGAATACAAAACATACACAGGTGTATGCAAACATGGGCTCACACTAATACCCCCAAATGTGCACATTTACAAACACACGTACACATAGAAAACATACAAATGCACAAACACACCACATAGGCACAGGCATGTAAACGTGTGCACTACACGGTATATGTGTACAAATGCATACACTAAAACATACCACACGCAGGTATATGTAAACGTGCATGCCCACAGGTATACATACATGTGCACATATGCTTGCATACAGAGACATGCAGATGCACAGGGCACATGCAACACACAGGCACCTTTCCAAATTTGAAGAGGCAGGACTCATGCATGGGGAGACCCTTCCCCTCCCTACCTCACAGGGTCCTTGTTGGGGCCAGTAGAGAGAACGGATTTGAACCTGTCTAAGCTCCCAGCGCTCACTCCTACCCCTCTTCTGCAATCCCTAAAGCCGTGGCGTCTCTGGAGTCCACAGATGTTCTGAAGTGGGTCCACGTTAATTTTAAGAGAGCCCTCTGTAAGCAGAGCAGGTGACATTAGCTCCCAGCCCCCAGTCCTCAGGAGCCCGAAGGGGGACACCGCTGGGCAGGGGAAAGGTGGACATGGGTGTCTGGCTTAGGCTGAAGCTCTGGTGGCCCTCAGGGTTCTGGACACTCCTAATGTCCCATTAATGTCCCATTGTCCATCTGGGCTTCATCTAAGGAACTGAGAATACAGACTGGTCCATGGTCCCAAGTGTGACCCTCCCCAGGGACAGAAAAGCCCAGCAGAAGCGGGAAGGATGGCATTGGGGGGCGGCGGGGCGGTGAGTCAGAGGCTTGACCAGACACGGCGGGAGGTAGTCTCTGAGGAGCTAGTACTCACAAAAGTACACTGCGCCCGGCGCCCAGGCCCAGCACACACACACGCGGCTGGGAAAGGCTGGGTTTCGCGGCGGAGTCCATGGGGTGACCTCCGGGCCTGGGGGCGCCGGGGTAGTGCGGCATAGGGGCTTTGTGGCGTCAGCAGAGCGAGCGGGTCAGCAAGGGGCAGGGGCCGCGGGGCGGGATTTGCAGGGAGAGCGAGATGGAGGCGGGGCCTCTCTGCCATGGGGTGGGGCTTGCTGGCAGCGGGAGGAGATAGAGGCTGGGCCTCGCCAGCCCGAGGTAGGGTTCGAAGGGGAGGGAATAAAGCAAGGGCTTGGCTAGCCCGAGTTGGGGTGAGAGCGGAGGTAAGCCTGGGAGGGGGTGGGGCAAGGGAGGATAGAGAGATTGCTGTGCGGTGAGGAAATCTGCCTGGAGGGCAAGGAGGTGGCGCCCTACTAGGAGAAGATGCAAAAGGTGAGGACCCCAGGCTGCACAAGCTTCTCCGTTGGGGAAAGGGGGAGGGGTTAATAGGACAGGCAGCAGAGGCAGGGAGCAGTACCTAGTGGGGTTGGAGGTCGCTTGGAGGAGTGTGTAGCGCGGGGTCAGGGTGGCAAAGCAAAAGGGAGCTGGCGACGTGTGGGGAGACGAAGGGGGTGCTCTCCCTTGTCATTACTGAGGGGTGGAGAGTGGGAGCAGGAGTTGGGGTCCTGGCTTAGGTGCAGAGGATCGGGTCCCCTGGGCCTGGGGTGGGAAGAGGTTCTTTTCAGTACCCGCTGATGGATTTGACCCCCAAAGCCACTCCCCACCCAAACTCACCAAGCCCGTGCCTGGAGGTAGAGGGGTCAGGTGAGGAAGTGGAGGCTGGGGCTGCACAGAGAAAGTAGGGACCAGTAGGGCCACAGAGCCCTGTGAGGCTAGGCATCTCCAGGGCTGTGTAGAGTCTGACTCTGGGTGTAGATGGCCTGTTCTGGGTGAGCATCGCTGGCTCTGGATTTAGAGGGCTGCAGGTGTAGACAGTGGCTTTCCCTGAGCCTGCTGTGCTGCAGAGTGGTGTGTTCTGATCCCAGTGAGCTTCCTGGGGGGCTTCCTGTAACACTGACCCAGACTAGTTCCTGGCTCTACCATCTGGAACAGCGTCAAGGCCGGATTCAGGACAACTTGTTGGAAACAAAGCTCATAAACTCGGCACTCAACTGGGAGCAGGCTGCGTAAGTTTGAATTACCCCATGCACATAACCAGCCTAACTAAATATTACACAGGGGAGACAGAAGGGAGCAAAAGGAGAGGAAACCCTGTGATCCAGAAACCCCAGAGTGGTACAGCCACTTTCTCCGACTTATTGAGTGGCTCTGAAAAGAGCCTTTGGGGTGACAGAGCACGAAGTGGGTGACCCTAGGGGCCTAAGCCCGTTCCCCGCGGATGCGGCGGGCCAGCAGGATGTCTCTGGGCATGATGGTGACGCGCTTGGCGTGGATGGCGCACAGGTTGGTGTCCTCGAAGAGCCCCACCAGGTAGGACTCGCAAGCCTCCTGCAGAGCCATCACAGCGGAGCTCTGGAAGCGCAGGTCGGTCTTGAAATCCTGCGCAACCTCGCGCACCAGGCGCTGGAACGGCAGCTTGCGAATCAGCAGCTCAGTAGACTTCTGGTATCGGCGGATCTCACGCAAGGCCACAGTGCCTGGTCGGTAGCGGTGTGGCTTCTTCACAACTCCGGTTGCAGGTGCACTCTTGCGAGCCACCTTGGTGGCCAGCTGCTTTCGTGGTGCCTTGCCACCGGTAGACTTGCGAGCCGTCTGCTGGGTTCGAGCCATAGCTCTGGTACTTCTTCTGTCTTTCTCTGACTACTGGAACTATGGAGCCAGGCCACCTTTATAGAACCTGCTGTGTTCCCATTGGCTGGCCACCGGGTGGCCTGATGACAGACTACATTCTGATTGGTCCGTGGGCTACGTCGGTCGGCTGCCTGCCTCTTATATTCACGTTTGATCTCCAAGCTCCCAGCAACAGCAGCAGCATGTCAGGGCCAATCAGGTTGTGCGTGGCCCTGAGTCTCTTTCCTTTCCAGGATTCCTTCACTTCCTTTCAGCCATGTTCTTACCCTCTCCTCGCTTACCAAGGTGGGAAGAACCTTCTAGAAGCCAGCAATGTGCTTTGCGTTTTTACATGGTGATAATGTTGAATTTTTCTGGGAGTTCTGGGAATCTGGAAAATAGCCATAGTTTAAAGGAATCTCCCATCCCTTATGATGGTCAGATAACTCCTTTCCCCATATGGCCTAGAGGAGAGGGATGCTGTGGGGTTAAAAATATGAACTAACAGCACTTAAAACAAATTAAAAACTATATTAGAAAGTAATGTTTTGAAGGAAAAAAAAGAAAGTAACATTTTGTCAGGGCTGAGAGGCTGAGGTGGGTCACCCACCTCAGCTCTACACACCAACGTGTGTAAACAAATCGTGTTAAACCAATACTTATCTTTCTAGTTCTTTTCCTCCACAGTTGCTACTCTGTTCAACCTAGTGTGTAAGCAATTAAACCTACTCACTTCTTCACCCAGTTAACTACCCTGACCCAAGCCCGCTTTGCAGTACATGATTAACTGTACTGCTTGTTTTCACTCATCAATCCAAACAAGAGAAGCAAGTCACCCTTTTGCCCAGCTTTGGATCCGCCTCAGTCCTCCCTCCAGGGTCTCAGGGTGAAGCATTCTCAGACCTGTCCCTCAGCCACTCTTCATCCTATTTCCTCATGAGTCACTCACCCCATGCTTCCAGTTCAATTTCCCAGACATTGAAAAAATTGAAAGTTGAAACTTCTGAGGCCCCTGGAACTTCTTAGAGTCCATCTGGTCCACATTCCATCTCCAGTATTCCTCAGCATGACCACTAGATTATCCCTCCAGGGGCTTCTGCTCCAGGTCATACTGGACTTTCTTCCTTTTTATTTATTTATTTAATTTTTAAAAAATGTAAATGGACACGCTACCTTTATTTTATTTGTTTATTTGTATGGGGTGTTGAGGATCAAATCCAGGGCCTCCACATGTTAGGTGAGCACTCTACCACTGAGCCACAACCCCAGCCCCTAAAACTGGACTTTCTTATCACTTGGGCAATGATGTATTTTGTCATCAACAATGGTGCAGGGGTTTTTGTTGGAGAGGTCTTGTTTTATCAGGATGAGACATGATCAGTCAGGTGTGGGTTTTTTTTTTTTTGTTGTTGTTGTTGTTATTATTTTGGCACTGGGGGATTGAACCCAGGGCAATTAATCACTGAACCACATCTCCAGTCCTTTATATTTTTTATTTTGAGAAAGGGTCTCCCTAAGTTGCTTAGGGCCTTGCTAAGTTGCTGAGGCTGGCCCCAAACTTCTGGTCCTTGTGCCTCAGCCTCTCAAACCTCTGGGATTAAATTAGGTAGGCACCATCATGCCTGGCTTCAGTTATTACTTTATTCAAAGTTTACTGCTTGCTTAAAAAGATAACTGTTCAATATCAGCAAAATGTTTTCAGTAATGATAGGGAATCCTTTTCAATTTATCGAACACCTTGGTTCTTATTTATTGGTCATCTTATGTTTAAAAGTACTGGCATTCCTGCACATAACCTGCTTTTTTTCTGGCACAGGAGGTCCATTGGGAGGTTCTGACTGGCTGACATGCTGTCGCTGTTTTATCCAATTAGACAGCTAGACTGACAGCGCCTGGTTCAACTGTGCACATTAATCCAATCAGATGTTACATTTCCCTGAGCCATTATTTAGACATAAGTCATATAAATTGGGCAACTTGTGCTAATGACCTTTTCAAGGCTCTTGCCTTGTGTCCACTGGAAGTCTGTTTCTGCATTCAGAACAGGTTCACATTTAGGTGTGGCTCATGTTAGAAAGTTGGAGTAGGGCTGGGCCACAGACTCTGAGACAACTCATGTCCAACTCTAAGGGGGCTGCTTATATCTCATGTAAAACTGACTGGCTGAGCACCAACCCAGAGCTTATGAGAGAGTCGGCTTGACCCCATGGCGTTTGATAGAGAAAGTTGAGTTCCAGTGGCATTTTACAGCATAGTCAAGTTCATCACTAGGAATTCTTCCCTTGAGTCCTCACAGAATTTAAGGAAATGCTCACATTTACCAGTTTACCATAAAGGGTATTTTAAAGGATACCATATCAATGAGAGGAGATACACAGGGTGAGTTCTAGAAGGTCCCCAGTGCAGGAGCTTCTGTCCTGTGGGGTTGGGGTGTTCCACCCTCCTGACATGTGGATGCTTACCTTCCTATGAGCTTCCAAGTGTTCAGAGGCTCTCTGAACCCTATACTTTGTTTTTTTTTTTTTTATGGAGACTTCATTGCACAGACATGATTGAAGCAGGGACGACCATGTATAAATGTAACTGAACACAAAGGTTGTGAATTAAGGCAAGGAGACTGGGTGGGAAACCCAGTGAGGCCTGTCCTTTCAGATTGCTCACAGCCCTTCTCTGCAGCATTCCTTCCTCCTGGGTATTGTGCAGGACCCCTCTACAATGGGGGTCGAATGATCCACTGCCAGATGGGGTAGATCTTGAAGGCAGCTTCAAGACAGAAAGTCAGGGAAAGATTAGAGTGACTTTTAGTTCTTATGACCCAAGGTTGGGGAAGAAAGATTGCCTTCAGGAGAGAAAGAACAGGTAAAAAGAAGGTAGAAGAGGGGAGAGAGAGGGGGGGGGGTGGGAGAGAGAGAAAGAATATGAGAATGAATGGGAATTTGCTTTCTGAGCCTCAGGTAACCCAAGATTCTAACAAAAGGCCACGTTTCACATTTATTGCTCTAAAGCTATACCAGGAACCAAGAACAGAAAGGTCAGGTGATTTGATGGAAGATGTTCCCATTGTTCTAGATGTTAGGGCTATGGTAATGATAAGTCAGGGCCAGGGGCAAAACCAGACCAAAGCCAGTAACCACCACCATATTCGTAGATGTGTAGGCATGTGTACAAAATAACATCAAAATGCCACAGAGTAAATAATTTACACAAAACATGAATTCATTTTCGAGGTTCTGGGGGTAAGAAGTCCAAGGTGAAGCACAGACAGGCTTGGTGTCTGGCCATAGATGGCCATAGATGATGCCTGCTAGCATCCTTATTGATGAAGGAGGGGAAGAGAGAACCATGCCTACAAGCCCCTTCACGAGGACCTCATTCCACCTACAAGGCCTCTGCCCCCGACTCAATCACCGGCTACTGCTGTCATGTTGGTAATTCAGACCTAGCTTTGCCCACAAATAAAGTGATTGAACAATGAAAACCCAGCCCTTCCAGCAACTGTATGCCGAGTGATTAGAGGGAAGCACTTTCTAGAACTGCTGGGATTTTAAAGTAATGCCAGTTTTGTTGTAGACTTCTAAATATCTCTAGTCAACCAAATCAGGGACTACAGGGCTAAATCAGTCAGCTTTGGGTGCTGTGCTGCTGCAAAGCAGACTTCCATAGCTTCACATGCCCTTCCTGTCTGCCAGGGGCATGCTGGTGGCTGCAGGGCCTGGTTGGCTCAGCTCTGCTCAGATGTGCTCCCAGCACCCATTCATTTGGGATTCAAACCTAGGAGTGATGAAATTGTACTCATCCCTGGGTAGTGAGGTGGGTGTGGAGAGCAGGCTGTGCCCCCCTCCCAGGAACTCTGGAAGACCCAGAATGGCACCATTGAGGCCGTGCCTAGCTCTGAGTTTCCACTCCACTCTTCAAAGCAGTGGTTTACCCGGAGGAGAAGGGCTCTGCACCTTGTTTGTACCAGTCTACAGCCAGCACCTGCACAGTACCACCCTAAGTAAGTAAGGCACAGACCCCTAAATCTGTTGGTGGTGCTCCTCACCTATGAAGGTGTTGCATTGAATCAAGCCCACAGACTCATGGGTCTATCAAACCTCATGGAAACTTGTTCATCAGTCACACCAGATGGAACCCCCTCACCTACAAGCCATCTGAGGAGAAGTTGCAGGAGTGTGTGTCCACCTGTCTGTCAGGCTGTCAGTTCCAGGCGTCTCTAGGTGGATAGATGTCAGTAGAGGGTGCTTCTCACCTGTGCCCACTCTCATGAGTTGCTGCTCTTGGCATAGCTGCTTCCACAGCTCCAGAAGGACCACATTAGGCTGGTTGTCTCTTCTGGCCATCTACCCCTGCTGCCAGGTCAGCCCTCATCTCATGCAAGACACTCTGATGGCCCTTTCTTCCTTCCTTTGTCTTGCATACAGGCCCTCTCCTGTGCACATTTTTGGACTGCTGTCTGCTCTCAGCTTCTCCCAGGCTAGCCATCATGGTAGTAACCTCATTAAATGGGGCAACCAACATATGGGTCTAAAATAGCCATCGAGGACCCAATGTTGCAGGTGGAGCAGGCTGCAGAACCAAGTCTCTCATGCCACTGGTAAATCTTCCATCACCTGGCCCCGGTAATTCAGATTAAACATTGCCTGACACATACCAAGCTCCTGTTGAATCTGCTCCAAATCCGCACAGGATTGCCATTTACCCACAGTTTCTGGCAGTTCTCCAGGTCAGTCCACACAGTTCATGCAGCTGCATAAAGCAAACTATCAGGCAGCGATGATGGTCTCGACTCTTGCGATGATTGCAGTTGCTGTCTCAGGGAGAAGTGGGTGGTAATGGATGTTTGGTCTCCAGAGGAGACCAAACAATGCATCCATCCCTAGGTTCCACAGTTGCAAAGCCCTGCTTCCAGGGGCTCCCCAGATTGCTAGCAAATAGCTTACCCAAGCCCACTAATGCTGCCTGGGTGTATGACTGACATGTGGTATGTTCTGTAACATTCAGCTGTTCCATTGCCTGACCTCCAGGGGCCCTGGCCTGACTAGGGGCCCTGGCCTGACTAGGGGCCATTGCCACCTCTGAATAAAGATGACCAATATCCCAACTGCCTTGCATCTTCTTTTAACTGCCCGAGCCCTGAACCTTGCTTCCCAGTCCTGAGCTTCACCCTATGCCTGACAACAGACTGCCACAACCAAAAAGCCTCCATCTCCCCACAACCCTGTGGGCTTCAGCTCAGCTCTTTTCCCTGATAGCACATGGCCCACTTGGGAACTGCCCCTGCCCTGACGCTGGCCTAGAATCAATTCCCTGCTCTGCTGTGGGGTGCACTGAGCAAGGTCCCTGGCTGGTTTCTTGCCTCCTGTGAGCACCGGGGTGACTTCTTCACCTTCACACCTGTTCTCTGGTTTAGGTCTCAGAGCAGCTGTCTAAGACCCCATGGTCACCTTAACACTTTATTATGATGGCAGCTGGAGAAGCCTGGAACATTTTCTCAGAGGCTGCACAGCCCAGTAGGGTGTCCTCAAGGCCACCCAAGGTAATAAAGTTCCTCAGGCCAGAAACAAGAGTTTGAGCATGTGAGTATGTTGAGTGTGTTGTGCACAAGCACAAGCCCTGTGATGTGCCATCTGCGTGGGCGTGAGGAGCCCTGCACCCTTCACACCTGAAGGGATGCTCTGGTGGGCTACACTGTCCAGAGTGCTCCATCAGGTGTGTTTCTTTGGCCTGCTGAGAGCTCAGCTTTGCAGTGGGGAGAACTGGGAGTCAGGCCAACACACAGTGCCTTGATGGGGGGAAACGGAATCAGTGGAAGGGATGTGCCCTGGCTCACTGGTCTTAGAGTGGCCCCCAAACTCCACAGTACCAGAGACCTGTAGAAGTCCCATCAAGGCCACAGGTCATGCCACAAAAGGGCTCACAGGCCCCTTAAAAGACCAAATAGCACAAGTCACTAAACAGATTTAAAGCACAAAATGAGAAGCAAGCGGAAAGGGACTTAAGTGTCCGGGGAGGTGCTGCCGCTGATACTGAGCATAGGGGTCCCTGGGTGCTGTTGCTGTCTGCTGTCAGCCTTTGCTGTGGGCAGTGTGTTATGAGGATCAGGAGGGTACTGCACCCGTGGCACACAGATGTGACTCGGGGGCAGGCTCCCCTGGCCATGCCAAAGGGAAAATGGCTTGCATGGGGGGGGGGGGCGGTCTGCCCTGGTTGTATGGCAGCTCTGCATGCCCCAGGTGTGCTATTCCCTTGAGTGTACCTGGATGCCCAGGGCCTAAGTGCCTCCTACATGCTTGACTTATCCACGTTTAGTGCTTCCTGTCTGCTCCCTGCCTCCTGGGCATGCAGTGCCTAGGTCTCCTCACCCATTTCTGCTCTGAGACCCTCACACTCTCCCTTCTACCTATCTCTGTGTAGCACACCCTAGGGAATTCTTCCATCTTCATGTCAACAGAGTGGTCAGGCAAGAGGAAATGAAAGGGCTTGGCCTGTTCAAAAACCAAGTATGTTTTTTTAACTCTTTTAACTGGGGAGGTTCCTCACATGTCCTGGAGCCCAAGCTTCCAGCTGTCCAACTTGCAAGTGTCTTCATCTGGTCTACAGGAAGCCTGCTCTTTTCTTCACCTGGCCTTTTTTGCAGAGCATTTTTTTTCCTTTTGATTACATCCAAATGATCAGTGCTTCCTCTTATGGATCATGTGCTACGTGTCACATTTAGGAGTATGTTGTCCAGCCCTGCCTTCTGAGAGTTTTCTTCTGTATTCTTTATCTACAATTTTGGCAGTTTCATTTTTCATTGAAGTCCACAGTCCACTTTGAGTTGATATTTGTATAAGTTCATCTCTCCCCTTTGTGATGTCCAGTGCTCTGGTCCCTTTTGCTGACAAGGCTGCCTTTCGCCTGCTGACTGTCTGCCTGCTTTTACAAGCACAGTGCACACTGTGTGTACTGAACTGTAGCTCCTCTGGGTGTTGTGTCCTTTGCACTGATCTCTGAGTCCTCCACAGATAAAACACATGGCACCTTCTGTAGCCATAACATCCACAGAGGGAGTCTTCTCTCTTCTGTTGTCCTCTTCAAGGTTGTTTTAGCTCTGAAGGAAGTTTTACAACAAGCTTGTTTATGCCTGCAAAAATCCTTGCTGGGACTGTGGTGGGAATGGCAAGAAACCCATGTATGGGGCTTTTCCTCTTCTATGTCTCTTGTTCTGGGCATTGTTATAAAGACACTTATGGTTGGCTTCACGATCCAGGATGATCTCCTCGTTTAAAACTCTTTAACTTTATTACACTTGCAAAGACCCTTTTTCCAAAGGATATGGCCATAGGGAGGAGACTGGGATGTGGAAGGCTGTCCTTCAGCCGGTGCAGTTAATATTCAAGACAGGGCAGCAGCAGCTGAAGTAGAGAGGAATGCATGCATGCATCTGGACTGTCCAGAGTTGACTCCAGTAGGATATTCTGGTGGTTTCTGCAATAGCTAGTAAGGCAAAAATGAGCCAAGGACCCTGCTGTGGTTTGAAAGTTTGTGTCCCCTCCAAATTTGTGTGTTGAAGCCTAACCCCACAGATATGGTGTTAGGAGGCAGGGCCTTGGAGATGGAGCCTCGGGATGGCATCAGGGCTGGTTCTGGTTTGAAGGTGGCCCTCAAGTCTCCTGCATTGCAAACTCAATCCCCAAGGTCATGTGTTGGTGGTCTGTGGAGGGACAGAGTCAGGAAGGCCCTGCTGTCACCAGGGCACTAGTGGGTCGAGGTGGGTGTGGCTTTGTTTGCAAAGTGTGCTATCTCTGGCACACCTGTGGGGGACCACCTGAGGCCCTCCCCAGGTCAAGGTGCAGCAGGAAGTCCTCACCAGATGCCAAGTAGATGCCAGTACCATGGTATGGATGGCCCAGAATTGTGAGCTACATAAATTATTCTTTATAAGTTACTCTGTGCCATTTTGTTATAGCAACAGAAATTGGACTAAGTGCTTCAAAAGAGACTTGAGTGGACTTCCTGCATCAGGAAGGCACAGCAGGTGGCGCCATCCCTGAAGGAGAGTCACACCAGACACCATGTCTGTCAACAACTTGATCTTGGACTTTCAGCCCTCCAGAACCTTGAGAATAAATTCTGTTGTCTATAAATCACCCAGCCTATAGTATTTTGTTTTAGAAACCCAAGAAGATTAAAACAGGCATATTTTACTGGCCTATTTTACTTAATTGAGGAGCAGGAAGGTGGTGAAGCTGTTTAAGGGCTGGGGAAGGCAGGGATGGGATGTGACTCAGTGATTCTGGTGCTGGGAGAAGTGAGTGGCACAGGTGAAGCCTGGCTCTGGGGAGAGGCCATGGTCTAGATAAGACCACAAGAAAAGTGGAGGATCAGGGAGGATCAACCAGAGCCTGAGGTGAGTGGCAGTAATGCTGGCCAGTCCTACCTCAGGCCTATGGCTCTCAACATCAGCCCAGCTGGCCTATGACTTATTACGATCCCCAGTGTTCCGTGAAGGATAGTGTAGAGTCCAGATGGGGCCTTGGGGTTCCTTGAGCCCAAACTACTAACTAACCACTGACTCATCCCTCATCTTCCAGTTGACCAATACCTGATCCCTCAGCTGACCCATCCCTGATCTCCTAGTTGACCCATCCTAACCTTCTACCTGACCTTCCACATGACCAGTCCTCCCGACCAATCCTGACCTGCCAGCTGACATCCTTGAACACCCAACTGATTCATCCTGACCCCCCATTTCACCTATCCTTGACCTTCCAGCTGACCCATCCCTCATCCCCCAGCTGACCCACACTTGACCATCACTGACTGTCTTCCTCCAGTGGGCAGCAAATGCCCATAAACCAGCATTAGTCTGTCCACCAACTGGAAGAGTTCTGCCCTGGGCTGAGAGTGAGGCCAGAGCCCAGGCCCCAGGGAGGTGGCCTGGGGCCCAAGGGCAGCCCTCCAGGAGAAGCAGCTCCCACCTCCAACCTCCAGAGCCTGACTGAGCAGCAGGGGGACCTGGCATCCCAGCCACCTGAGCAGGGGTAGCTGCAGCCAGGCAGTGAGATGGCAGGCACCTGTAGGGAAGGGGGCATGGCTAGAGGCATGATCAGTGTGGCTGTGGACCTCTTCCTGGGCCAGGGAGAGCCTCCTTGCTGTGTGGCCCAGGGCTTGCTGAGTTATACCCAGGACACAGAGGCTTCTGGGGACCAAGGCAACTCAGGATCACTGCTACAGGACAGATGAGGCACCAAGGGGAGATGCTAAGCTCAACACAGCCGGATGTCTTTCTGGAGAATTGGTGTCAGCTAAATGACACTATAAGTCAGAGCCCATGGGGACCCAGAAGTTGGGAGGAGGTGAGTGGTCAGTGTTTTCTTCATAGGGGGATTTTAACATCTCCCTGGCACCATCCCCTCCAGCCCCATAGCCACAATTCTGCTCAGCTTCTGGGAGTTTGGCTTCTACATTCCACAGCTGGAGGATCAGGGATGGCTTAGCTGCAGAGTCCAAAAGAGAGACCATGTGGTAGCCGTCCTTCTGTGCCTGGCTTCTTTCATTTGGCATAAGGTCCTCCAGGTTCATCCATGTCAGGAAAAGAGGATTCCCTTCTTTTCTACGACTGAGTAGTATTCCACTTGTGTACAGCTGGCCCTTCACATCTGCAGGTTCAACCAATCTAAGATCAAAAACCATTTTTTAAAAATTGTGTCTGCCCTAAAAATGTGTGGTCTTTTTTTGGTGCGCAGGAGCTGGGGGGGTACAGTCTTTTTTTGGGGGGAGGTCATGATTTCTTTTTAATATTTTTTAGTTGTCAATGGATCTTTATTTTAGTTATTTATATGCAGTGCTGAGAGTCAAACCCAGTGCCTCACGCATGCTAGGCAGGTGTTCTACTACTGGGCTACAACCCCAGCCCTGGTCACGGTTTCTTAAACCATACAGCAGAACAAATACTTACATAGCATTTACATTCTATTATGTACTAGAAGTCATCCTAGATAACTTAAAGATTTTAGGTTAGACACAAATGGCATGCTATCATATATAAGGGTTGTGACCATACTTAAGGTTTGGAATCTACAGGATCCTGAAGTCAGTCCCCTGTGAGTACTGAGGACAACTGTAATGTCCTCTAGGTTCATCCATGTGGTCAAAGATGTCAGGGTTCCATCCTTTTTAAAGGCTGCATGGTGTTCCTTCCACTGTCTGGACATCACATTTTCAGTGTTATTCATTCCTTGGTGGGCACACAGAGGATTGTGTATCTTGGCTGTTGTGAACAGTGCTGCTGTAAATACAGGAGTGCAGGTGTCTCTTGAACACACACACACACACACACACACACACACACACTTCATCTCCATTGGATATGTGCCCAGAAGTGCAATTGCTTCCTATGGTGGGCTTTACTTTTCATTTTTGAGATAGGAGATTATTGGTTATGTGGATGAGGCTGCAAGGACAGACCCAGCAGAACAGTCTAACATTAGGGCTGGAGGGGGACAGACCCACACCTGGAGAGGGTACAGACACAGCAAAGCCAGGCTGGAGCCCCACATGACACAAACTGTCTCTAGGGGTGTCTCTGAGTCTGCCCCAGGCTGCATTCTTCTTCTGGAACCTCATACTTCTTTTTCTTAACTTCCTTAATAAAATGCCTGCCCTAGGGAGGTGTGTGGAGGGACTGAGCTAATCCTGACCAAGACGTGTATGCAGGGACAGTGGGCCTGGAGAGGCCTCCTTGCTCCTACAGACACAGAAGTGGGCTGGCCCAGCAGAAGTGAGCTGCACATGGGCACGTCCAGAGGTATCTGCTGTGACCACCCAGAATGATTCAATGTCCCGCCTTATAAGTGGTCTCCAGGTGATGGCAGGAGCAGCACCGGCGCTACTTCATTCCACCTAGAAAGCATTCTACCTAAAAAGCATTCCTCCCACCCCTCTTCCTTTTAGACATCTGGTCTACTTGTACCTGGCCCTTCCAGGGCTCCTCTATCTGTTTTTCTCTTCTTTGGTCCTCCTTGTTCTTTTTATTATTTCATACACATTCAGTTATCAGGATCAGATTTTTTAAAATTGAGGTGAAATTCATGTGACGCATGGTGAACCATTTTTAACTGAACAGTTCCAGGAAATTCACAGTGTTGTGCAACTGTCATCTCATCCTGGTTCCCAAACATTCTCATCACCACCAAGGATCCTGTACCCATTAGGCAGTCCCTGTTACTCTTCCCCTTCCTCCAGCTCCAAGCAACTAATCTGCTTGCTGCCTCTCTGAATTTGCCTGTTCTGGACACTTCATGTAAATGGAATTATACAATATGTGTGTATTTGTGTCTGACTTAATTGGCGCAATGTATGAGGTTCATCTATGTTGTAGCATGAATCAGTGCTTCATTCCTTTTTAATGACAAGTAATTTTCTACAGTGAGGATAAGGTCACTATTGTTGACCCATTCATCAGTTATTTCTGCCTTCCAGACAGTGTGAACAATGCTGCTGTGAACATTTAAGTACAAGTGTTTGTTGGGTGCATATTTTCATTTCTCTTGGGCATATTCCTAGAAATGATTTGCTGGTCATGTGGTACTTTCTTCCTTTTACAAGAATCTAATAAGTGTTCTCTTAGAGAGACAGGTAGTTCTTTACATTTCTGAAACTGATAATCTGATAGATCCCCAGATCTTAGGAGCTGACCAATCAGAGCTTTTTGTGATGATGGAAACATCTTCTATCTCTGCTTTCTAACATGGTACCCACTGGCCATGCAAAGCTAGAGCTCAAATGAAATTACTCATTTACATTAAATCTTAATCAATTGAAAATAAACAGCCCTGTGGCTTGTTGCTGTGTACTGGATGGTTCAGTTTTAGTGGCAAAAGATGAAAAGCTACCCTGAGTAGACCACTGCCATTGCTGCCCTCTTAATAACTCATTTGAGTAATTTTATGTAGATGTGAAAATCCATGGTGATACTTGAAATATCTACATCCCAGTCCCTGAAAGTTTCTTGTTAAATGCCACTTAAGGTAGAATGTGATAGATATCATCATCCAAAGTACATGTATGAAGACACGAATTGGTGTCAACATACTTTATATTTAACCAGAGATATGAAAAATTGTGCTGTATCTATGTAATAAGAATTGTAATGCATTCCGCTGTCATTCATTTAAACAAAATCATTAAAAAATGCCACTTAAATGCCACTGAGACCCACAGAGTCATGAATACATACAGTTAGAATTGCAGGCTATCACTAGAAACATGTGAGGAATCTCTGGAAGATCAGTCTTTGCAGCCCGTTTTACTGAAGTAGGGCGTATACACATGTTGCATGAACTACATACTTTCTGTGAATATTTTATTGCTGAAAACCATACTATTAGAGCAGCTCCTTATCAATTTTTATGCACTAGTTTCCCACACTGGGATATTTTGTAAAGGTAAGCAGATTTGTGAGTAGCTCCACAGATGGTATCTAGAGAGCCCTGGTTTGAGCAGATCCAGTTTTAGTAGGATAAATACATATTGTGTGCAAAATTATATAATGTATAATACATAATATTCCTGAATTGCATTGCTGGCTTGTATTTATTGTTATAATAAAATTAACAGAAACAGTACAGGTAATAACAAGGAAAAAAAGGTACCATTTATTGAGCTTTGATTTTTGTGGCACGCATCATTCAAGGGATCCTGATAGATCATGACAGAGCTCACCTAGTCCCCTCTATTAGGTAGGTGCTATTAGAATGGCCATTTCTGTCCAATTTGCTTGGAGCTTTCCAGTCCTCCTTTTTAATAAAAAGTGGAGATAATGAAGTAATCTTCCAAAAAGTCCACACAAGTGCTACTTTATCTGTCACTAGCAGTTTTAATTTGCTGTTTATTAAAATGTAAATTTAAATATGCTAAACTCAGAAACCTAATTCAGTGTACAAATTTTGTTCTGACTTAAGCAAAAGTGAATCTTCAACGTTTGACCAACTCAGATTTAAAATAAAACTTAATTCCTTTTACCCATTCATGAATAAACCTTAAAAATGTTTACACATCCTTTAAGACCAACAACTTGGTTCTTTTCAAGTATTGAGAACAGGTCTAGCAAACAAACCCTTTACCAAAACCTTTTGAAATCCCAGTTCAATTAGATCCTGATTTTGGTGGACTTTGTTTTGTTAAAATTTATCTATTTTAACTGGTTCACTCTCGTTCCAAGTGGAAACCCCAAGATTCACCTATCAGAATTCCAAATGGCAAATTTTATTAAAGTGTAATACACTTAATATCAGATGAACTGACCCAATTGTCCCTAGGAGAAAAAAACGCAATCTTGACTTTTTTGGAATCCCAAGTACCTGTCATTGGTAATTCTGGGGACACTTAAGGAGAGGAGAAAGCCCCACGAGTTTGAGATTGTATTCGCAAGCAAATGGACAGGTCCGGCGGTTTTCCCGGCCTCTAGCAGAAGCCCATCGCCCACCTCGCGCACGTGCGTGTCCCTCCCTTGGGCCATGGTCCCAGTTTGAGCCCTTTGCTTTGACTAAAGCGCACTAATGCTCTTAAAGGAATCCAAGGGGACCCCGCCCCAGGCCAAAAGGCTGCGAGCTCAAAGCGGCTCTTTTCTAGAATCAGTGGTGGCTCTGAAAAGAGCCTTTGGTGTCCACGGGGGGCGCACAGGCGGCAGGGCCTCACTTGCCCTTGGCTTTGTGGTGACTCTCTGTCTTCTTGGGCAGAAGCACCGCCTGGATGTTGGGCAGGACGCCACCCTGCGCAATGGTCACGCGGCCCAGCAGCTTGTTGAGCTCCTCGTCGTTGCGGATGGCCAACTGCAGGTGGCGGGGGATGATTCGCGTCTTCTTGTTGTCACGGGCCGCGTTGCCCGCCAGCTCCAGGATCTCGGCCGTCAGGTACTCGAGTACGGCAGCCAGGTACACCGGTGCGCCGGCTCCCACGCGCTCTGAGTAGTTGCCCTTGCGCAGCAGCCGGTGCACGCGGCCCACAGGGAACTGTAGGCCCGCGCGCGAGGAGCGGGACTTGGCCTTGGCGCGCGCCTTGCCACCCTGCTTGCCGCGGCCAGACATTTCTAACGCAGAGAAGAAGTCGAAAAATACAACAGGGGATATCAGGACTACAGGCCCCAGCGAGCCCTTATATACGATCGGGAGGTAGGCTAAAAAGCACCGTCTGATAGGATGGCATCAATAGCCAATCAGAAAAGGACACCAGCATTTCCCGCCCCCCTAATTTGCGTAAGTCTTTCCGAGAGATGACGTAGGGCGACGTTCTATCCAACCAGAAGCGAGTAGTTCTTGATCCTTCATTTGAATTCAAGGCGTACAAATAGAGTTGTTGTGGTCGTCTCTGGAGTCTGTCAGAGGAGACCCGCCATCATGCCAGACCCTTCCAAGTCCGCTCCGGCCCCCAAGAAGGGCTCCAAGAAGGCCGTGACCAAAGCGCAGAAGAAGGACGGCAAGAAGCGCAAGCGCGGCCGCAAGGAGAGTTACTCCATCTACGTGTACAAAGTGCTCAAGCAGGTGCACCCCGACACGGGCATCTCGTCCAAAGCCATGGGCATCATGAACTCGTTCGTCAACGACATCTTTGAGCGCATCGCCAGCGAGGCCTCCCGCCTGGCGCACTACAACAAGCGCTCGACCATCACGTCCCGCGAGGTGCAGACGGCCGTGCGCCTGCTGCTGCCCGGGGAGCTGGCCAAGCACGCTGTGTCGGAGGGCACCAAGGCCGTCACCAAGTACACCAGCTCCAAGTGAGGCGCGTCCCTGGCGCCCTGAACCCAAAGGCTCTTTTCAGAGCCACCCACACAGTCGAGAAAGGGTTTCAAACACGGTGATGGGTTATTAACCCTATGTTTTACCTATACACCTTAGCGATTCCCAGTTACTGAGTGCGTCCCGCCAGTGAGTGAGCGGAGTGTGGGAATGTAACAGCCCATTGTAGAGGAACGGTGGAAATGGTGCCCTTGCGAAAAAGCAGGCGTGCAGATGAGGGGCGTCACTTCCCCCAGAAGGCTCTAGCGTCGGTCTTCTACCCTGTGTTCCCTTGGCGAGACCATGGGTACGCCAGACCACGAGTTTGCGGAGGCCTTGGGTGTTGTAACGCGGCCTGGCGGTGGCGCCATACCACCTTTCCATCCCTGCCCGCATCAGACATCTTTATCCTCAAGCAAAGTACATCCCGGTAGGATGTTTGCCTGGAAAGATCCTGCAATGACAGTGTGCTGGACGAGAGGGACGTGGAGGCTGGCGGATCACCGCAGCGCTTTGTGCGCGAGCTGGGTTAGTAAGTGACCACAGCTGCCAGCAGCTTTCACCCTTAGTGGTGGGGGGAGGTTAGAGGAACGGAATTACCTTGTTTTGAGCAAATGTAACTGCCTCCCCTTTTGGCCGCATGATTTTCTGTGAAGTGTTAGTAACTGAATTCTTTTCTTCACATTCATGGCATTTATTTAAGGAGTGCCATTGTGCTTCAGGAAAAGCATTTTGGCATGAAGCTTTCATACTGGAAGGGACACGGCTTATCTTTTTCTTGCTTTGACTTTTCTTATTTATTAAAAGAAAAAAAAGGATTAATAATGATTCTTTGAGCTGTTGTGAGAATTAGAAGTATTGAGAGTTTGTACCATTGTCTCCAGCAAGGAAAATTTTAAATAAAATTCAGTAAAACACACGCTTTTCTTTTTTCTTTTTTCTTTTAAGTGTCTCCACAGGGCCCTAGCCTGTCATGTGTCTGAACTGATGCAAACTGGGAGACTGGTGGGTCAGGGGAGAAAATGTCACCACAACAAGGTCCTCCCTAAAATGGCTGTATCACCACCCCACCTCTTTCCTGCTTGGGTCCACATAAAAGGATTTTTGGAAATTTCACACATTTTAAAAGTTGTCACCTACTGTATTTTTATAAAAATTCAAGTAGCAAGGATGCACATCCCAACATAGGACATTTTAAAAAGCAAAATGGCCACATCAGTATTTTAAATATACCTATTGGAACATCAATTTGATACCATAATCAGTTCATAAAATACATGATCAAATTCTATATCAGCCAGATATTTCAGGAGATGCTTAATTTCTGCCTGAACCATTATTTTTCCATTTTTCTTCTACCTCAGGATTTTACCCTACAGCAATTATAGGTATTATGGTTTATCTATTTTCTTGCAAAAATAAAAAAAAAAAGTCAAGGTTTTTTTGTTTTTTTTTTGCAAGAAAAGATTTGAATACATTAGATAACCAAAGATTTCTTTGGTCTGAGCAGAGGCCTGGTGTGGTGGCTCTCACCTATAATCCCAGCAATTCAGGAGGCTGAGGCAGGAGGATAGTGAGTTCAAAACCAGCTTTAGCAACTTAGTGAGGCCCTAAGTAACTCAGTGAGACCCTGTCTCTAAATAAAATACAAAACAAAGAGCTGGGGATGTGCCTTGGTTGTTAAGAGCCCCTGGGTTTAATCCTCAGTACCAAAAAAAAAAAAAAAGAAAAAGAAAAAAAATACCTGGGCAGTACACACACACACACACACATATATATATGACAAAAAAAAGAAAATATCTGGGCAGTACACAGTTTTATGTATATATTTTAGAGACAGGGTCTCACTGAGTTGCTTAGCACCATGCTTTTTTTAAACTCAAAAATCCTCCTGCCTCAGCATCCTGAGCAGCTGGGATTACAGGCATGCTCTACCCTGCCGTTGAGACAAGTATATTTTGATAGATCATGAGCAAATAAAAGTTTAGTGAAACTGGCTCTTTAATGAGATGGCTGGTAGTTCCTCTGTTCTTTTCTTGGTGACTTCTGCTGCAAGTACCTGTGCCTCCTTCGGCATAGGTGGTCTTGTGTAGTCTCGTGCTAGTAATGTACAGCTTCCCCTCCATTCCATTGTTTTCTGTCTATGTTTAAAAACTTAAGGAAATTGGGGCTGGGATTGTGGCTTAGCGGTAGAGCGCTCGCCTCGCACAGGCGGGACCCGGGTATGATCCTTAGCACCACTAAAAATTTAAGATGTTGTGTCCACCGAAAACTAAAATATAAATATTAAAAAATTCTCTCTCTCTCTCTCTCTTAAAAAAAGAAAACTTAAGGAAATTGGCCAAACACAGTGGCATATGCCTGTAATTCGAGCAACTCTGAAGGCCAAGGCAAGAGGATCACAAGTTCAAAACCAGCCTCAGCAAGGCCCTAAGCAACCCAGAAAGACTCTGTCTCTAAACAAAATATTAAAAAGGGTTCCAGATGTGGCTCAGTGGTTCAGCGACTCTGGGTTCAATCCCCCATACTAAAAAAAAAAAAAAAAGGAAATTGCTGGGCCTTGTAGTACACACCTGTGATCTTAAGCTACTTGGAAGACTGAGGGAGGCAGGGGGAGCGCAAGCTCAAGGTCACTTGGGGAACTTAGAGAGATCCTGTCTCAAAAAGGACGGGGGTATAATTCAGAGGTAAAGCACCTTTGGGTTCAATCATTTTATATATTTATATATGTATATAAAATAATTGTATATATATATATATATATATATATATATATATACACACACACACACACACATATATAAGCAGTAGGAATGGAAATTCTGCCATAGATATTTTATGTTTATATATATATATATATAAATAAATATATGTATGTATATATATGTGTGTGTGTGTGTGTGTGTATGAACACAGTAGAAATGGAAATTCTGCCATAGATATTTTACTCAATTCTTTACTTTCAGTAATAATCTGAAACTTAAAACAGTGATCCATCATTGAAAGTAAGCAGGACCTGTCAATAGTCTTAATTCTCAAGATATTAATATTAATGGATCAATAGAGGAAAACAACTAAATTCAGTCCTTTCCACTATGAAACAGATGCCAGATGACTGAGACCTCCAAACCCTAAGCCTCCTAACAACCTAAATTGAGAGTCAAGACTTTAAAAATATTTTTTTTAATTAAATTTATTTCTTGCAGTGCTGGGCAATTGTTCTTTCACTAAGCTACATCCCTAGCCCAGAGTTGTTTCAAAGGAGTATTTATAGTCACTAGAACTAGGCCCACAGTTCCATGTGATTCTCTACCTTCAAGAGCTGAATGCGTAGATTTAATAAAATGAAACTTGTCTCCAGCAGAGTGATTGTGTTAGCAGTAGACAACATTGTTAGTCCAGAGAGTCAATGAACAAAACATAGCACCGTAATTTCCAAATATAACTCTACAAGAATACATTTTGTGGTAGATAATGCAAAACATGGAGTGATTTTTCAGGTTTTCTAACTACTCTGACTAAAGCCTGAAGTAATAGACTGCCGCAGTCTGGCTGGGCACAAATGCCGCAGTCGGCTGGGCACACAATCACGAGCCACCACACAGCTTGTAGATTCAAACAGCAACTCTTTATTCCCGAACTCACACCAGCCGTCTACAATCACGTTCTGGGGAAATCCACGTTCTCTTCCCAAATCCACGTTCTCTGCCCAAATCCACTTCCACTGGGCTTCTATCTCCAAAATATATTGTCTAAATCCCGTGAGAACTCAAGGGGAACTCAGGCAGCAGGATACGCCCTATTCCCAGCAGGAATAATCTTAAACCTTAAACCTGGAACCTAAACCGGGAACGCCCTAAACACGATTATCTTAAAACCGGGAACACCCTAATCTGCCTTGGTCCTTGAGCAAGGTCACTTACATTCAATGTCACTGCAACATGTCAGCAACATGGGGTACGCTGGCAAGGAAATTGTCATACCTACTTGGCTAATGGCTCCCAGCATCTCCCCCCTTCTGATTAATTAAACAACAAGCAATGTGGCTTAAGGACCGTGCCTGGTAGGTTGTCCAATTCAACATATGGTTCTTACCCGGCACGGGAAAATCTGACCTTTAGGCGTCAGCCTCCTGTCTTAGGTTGATACCACTGCAATTGAATCATACCCGTCACTGACTACCTGTCCAGCATACAGCCATACTTGTGGATAGGTCTATGCACCAGTGGGGGGGTGAGGTTCTTTGCCTCACCTCTGTTGGCCCCCAAATTTGGCCTTGGTGCCAGTGGGGGAGTGAGGTTAATGTGGCTTATGGACCGTGCCTGGTAGGTTGTCCAATTCAACATATGGTTCTTACCCGTCATCAGAAAACTGACCTTTAGGCGTCAGCCTCCTGTCTTAGGTTGATACCACTGCAATTGGATCATACCCGTCACTGACTACCGGTCCAGCATAAGCCATTGGCCCCCAAATTTTAGACCATCACTAGCAGAAGGGAGGAGGATACAGAAATGCCACGACACCGAGCCAATTGACGGCTCCTTGGGAAAAATTGCATCACTGGTGACACCATCAGCAAAGATATGTCAGCACTACCACAATTAACATGGGGTGCGCTGGCAAGGAAAAATTGCATCACCAGTGACACCATCAGCAAAGATATGCCAGCATTACCACAATTCGCTGCACCAAACGATAGTTACATAGTCCAGGCAAGTTCTGCAAGCAGTTCAAAGCAGAGGAATCTATCAATATGTCCATTTCCTCCCCAAAATCTGTCTCCTCCCAAAGTAAGTTGACTCTTTGAGCATTACTTGTTGAGTTCTTCACCGGCACTGGGATGGAGATAGGAATTCTGGCAATGATGCTAAAGAGACATTATCCTGAAAAGAATTATTAAATATAATGAAAAGGAAAGGTGAAAGTAAACAAACAGATCTGTTAACCTACTTTAAAAACAATCCTTAACAGCCTTTTACCTAATTTAAATTAGTAAACAAACAGATCTGTTAACCACCTTTAAAAACAATCCTTAACAGCTGTTTACATAATTTAAATTAAACCATTTAAATCACGTGAATAAAAAAAATAATAATAATTCGGATCCATTTTTTCATGAGCGCTCCTCATATAAGAAATATGGACATACGCACATACAGACATACAACACAAAACACAAGAGTGTACACAAACGTACAACACATAAGAAAATAGTAAAGGCCTTGTAGCTTTACCTAGGTGGAATCTCCATTGCAATGTTTAAAAACTCCACAGTCAAAAAATAAAACTGATCAGAAAAACATTAACCTAGGTTTGTATGAGCTCAAAAAATAAAAATAGAACCTTATGATGTAGAAAAATGCAATAATAAAATAGCTATTGAAAAAAGCATCCTGGTTAATCACTGTCGCAGATGTAAGAATGGCCAAGCTGGAGCTCTGGATATCAGCTGTTATGGATTTGAGTCAAATCATCTTCTTTTCGATCTGTAGAAACTGTTTTAGTTAATCTCTCTGGAATCCAAATGGGCTGCTGTTCTCCCTGTGGAAAAACACAAACAGACCCCCGACTCCAGACAATCACTGGGTCAGGACCTTTCCATTGTCCTGTTAGAATATCTTTCCAAAGTACTTTAGGCTTATGTACATTTTTTGGATACATATGCCTTTCCGCAGCACTAAGTCCTGATGAATCCAAATTTAAAAAGTTTAGAGTAAAAAGCGTTATTTTAAGTTTATCTTTGGGGGATATATACCCCCTTCCAATTCCCTCTTTTTGCTTTAATAAGTATGTTTTAATAGTTTGATGAGCTCTTTCAACTACGCCTTGTCCCTGCGGTATAAACACCCAAGGCATCCTCCAGCCTCACGCACGAGGGGACACGGAGTGGGGTGTGGGGTGGCAGAGGATGGGCCAGAGGAGCTCGGTACACTCCCCACCCAGCCTGATTTCCTCCGGTGCCATCGCCTGGACCGTTCCAGCTTCCTATGGCCAAGGCTGACTTGATTGATTTAAAGCAAAACAGACATAGAAAGAAAGGAAGGAAGGGGATTGGGGGGGGGGGGGAGAAAAAAGTGCCGTCCGGAACAAGAGGTCCAATCCTAGGAGTTATGTCCTCCATTGCGCAGTGCACCCTCCCCCCAGCACCCGATTGGATCACAGGTCACAAGAGGAGGTGGCACACTCCTTTTTGAGCTTAGAGGTGGCTCTGAAAAGAGCCTTTGGGTTCAGGGCGCCAGGGACGCGCCTCACTTGGAGCTGGTGTACTTGGTGACGGCCTTGGTGCCCTCCGACACAGCGTGCTTGGCCAGCTCCCCGGGCAGCAGCAGGCGCACGGCCGTCTGCACCTCGCGGGACGTGATGGTAGAGCGCTTGTTGTAGTGCGCCAGGCGGGAGGCCTCGCTGGCGATGCGCTCAAAGATGTCGTTGACGAACGAGTTCATGATGCCCATGGCTTTGGACGAGATGCCCGTGTCAGGGTGCACCTGCTTGAGCACTTTGTACACGTAGATGGAGTAACTCTCCTTGCGGCCGCGCTTGCGCTTCTTGCCGTCCTTCTTCTGTGCCTTCGTAATGGCTTTCTTGGAGCCCTTCTTGGGGGCCGGAGCCGAGCGAGAAGGCTCCGGCATGACGAGGTGGCGACAGAACGGACTGGGATGGTAACGTAAGGAGAGCAGGGCTATTTGTCATCTTTATATTCAAATGAAGGCTCCAAATCTCTAGCATCTGATTGGACAGCCTGCAGCCGCGGCCGCGGCGACGAAGACTTTATGTAAATGAGAGATGCCGATTCTTCTTTCCTATTGGACCATAGTTCAACCAATCCAAAAGCGCATCGGCCGCGCGCCTGCGCTCAGGTTGTGTGCCTTTGTTCAAACCCTTTGTTTTAAACCCAGAAGAGATCTTGGGGTACTCTGCGTATCTGGGCTTGGCTAAAAGGAAAATGACAACCTCGGGTCTGTTTTCTCTGCTATGAAGCAAATACGCGGGCAACAGCTAGAGAGAGAAAGCTTGATGCTTTTCCAGCAAGACGGAGGAAATGGCAGCTCCCACTGCAGTAACTGTTTATTTTCCTCCTTCTCGCAGCCCTCTAAAGACCAAAGAGATGCACTTCTTTTAGAATTCAAGAGCGAGGCTGCGGCGGGGGGGGGGGGGGGGATCAAGAGCAAATCCAAACGTTTCTTTGGGAAATATTGAGAATGCTCTTAGGAACTTCCATCGGAAGTGTGTAGCCAGTTTTAACCGTGGAGAAGAATAAAACGTCAGGTTTTCATATTGTTTTGTTATTATTGTCCACGAAAATTCTGAAGTGTCAACCAGATTGCTATATGCTTGAGACATGGGATTTCACCAGTGTCCTAACATCTCCAGGAGCAGGCACGATTACTGTTGATTACTGTTACATTGTAACAGGCTTAGGGCACCCATCCCGGGTGCCTCCCCTGCTACAGTGCCTTCCAGTAGAGAAACAAGGTGTTACACATTCCCATTTCTCACTTATTTCAGCATCTTCTGGACAACTGGCTAGAAAAACATAATCTTAGGCGCCCCCCCCCCAAAATGGAGTGAGTCAGATCCCATTTTACAAAGATCCTTGCACGCGTTATATACAGCGAGAAGTCCTGCGCTGAAGCCATTTAGCTGCTCTACCTCGGGCATTTAGCTGCTCTACCTTCTTCGCACCTCCACTTCTTCATCTTTAAAATGAGGTATCAGTGGGCTTGCTGTGAGTTAATGTGCCGGAAGCAGTGTGTTTAATTCTTCTTTCCTTCTCAGAAGCCAGCCAGCATGCAGCAGCTTGGGCCGCCCCTCCAAGCTCCTCTTCCGGCTCTAGTACATTCACGCATAGCTTGAGCCTTTCTCTTTCCTGCTGCAACACCGACTCAGCTGGGATCATCAGGGCAAAGGTGTGCCTATCACCTCCTCATCTCCAGGTAGAACACAGAGTGGCACCTGACAGATGCCAGTCAGAGCATGGGAAATGAACAATCCTGCTAGCCTGGCAGCGCCCTCTACCGTAGGTTGTTCTGTTTGCTGAGGTCCCCAGGGGCATCCTGAGATCTTCGCCTTCCTGAGCTGCAGTGCCTATTCTCAGCATATTGTTTCCTCTTAAAAACAAACAAACAAAACCCCCCAAGAATTTAATATATAATAAAGATAGCATCACAACTCAGCGGAGAAAAAAATGGCCCAATGGTGTCAGAAAATGTATTAACTACTTGGGGGAAAATTAATTGTTCTCAGCTAGAGGAAAGGCTTTCAAAGTATTTTTAAAATTAGTTTAAATTTTTAAAATATGACCTTCCACACACAAAACTGGGGGTAAAATTATTTGCAATAGGAGACAAACAAAATATTAATATTCTTAATATAATAAAAAACATTAGTAAAGAAAAAAAAACATTTTACAGAATAGTAAACTAGACTATGAAAAGACAACATGAAAAACATTAACTTCACTAATATCAAAGGGATGCATATTAAAAATGATAGCTGAGTGCAAAGGGGGACTCCTGAAATACCAGTGGCTCAGGAGGCTGAGACAGGAGGATCACAAGTTCAAGGCCAACCTCAGCAACTTATCCAGGCCCTAAGCAACTTATTGAACCCAGGGGTGCTTAACCACTGGGCCACATACCAGTGTTTAAGCACCCCTGGGTTCAATCCCTGTTACCAAACAACAACAACAACAACAAAATGAGATGTCACTTTTCACCTATTAAAATGATGAAAATAAAATATACACTATGCAGTGCAGGCATACACTTTCTTTCATACATTGCTTAAAAGAAAAAACAAGATGGCAATCTATTCCAATATGTGTCTACATTATATACTTCCTTCCAGAAATTCCACTGTCAAGCATCAGTCTCTTAAGGAAATAAACATGGCTGGGGGGGATGGGGTTGTAGCTCAGTGGTAGAATGCTTGCCTCACATGCGTGAGGCCCTGGGTTTGATCTTCAGCACCACATAAGAATAAATAAATAAAAATAAAGATATTAAAAAATAAAATAAACAAGGCTGAAACAGAGCTTGGCAGGAAGCTCCATCAACAGCATCCATAATAAGAAAAAAATAGAAACAACCTGAGCACTGCTGTGCTGGGTGCTTTCCCCTGGTGGCCAGGGCTCCTGGCAAGTCAGTGTTGGAGGCTCCTGGGGCCTAGGGTCCAAGCTCTGTGGTGTTGGTCTTGAGATGGATGCTCCCAATGCCCACCCCTGCCCCTGCCTCTGGCTGAGCATGTCTGTGCTTCCTGGGTAGACACCTTTGCTCCCTTCAGAGAGGCCAGTGGACATCACGAAGCCCCTAGAAGACCAGCAGGCCACGCTGGGGGAGGATGTGGTGCTCACTTGTGAGCTGTCGAGGGCAAGCACTCCTGTGCGCTGGCTGAAGGATGGGAAGGCCATCCGTGAGAGTCAGAAGTACAAGCTGCTCCGCGAAGGCACGCAGGCTGTGCTGGTCGTCCATGGAGCCTCTCTCAAGGACTCTGGCACATACACGTGTGAGACGGACGCTTCCAAGAGCACAGCCAGACTCCGTGTGGATGGTGAGTGCCCACACGGCCCCACAGCAGCTCTCCCTTGGCATGCCCAGGACCCCTGCCTCAGAGCAGGGGAGGTCTCTCTCTCAGGGCTCTGCTTCCACGGCCGGCCGGAGGGACAAGGCTGGCTTGGGATGTATGCAAGCTTTACACTCACCTCTTCTGTCTTCTCTCCCAGAAAAGGCCAACAGGTTTACAGAGGACCTGGTTGACCTGCAGGTGGAGGAGAAGGGCACGGCCGTGTTCGAGTGCAAGACGGAGCTCCCAGCATCCACCGTGACGTGGCGCAAGGGCCTCAAAGAGCTGCGGGCCTCGGGAAAGCACATGTTGAGCCAGGAGGGCTTGGCCCTGCGGCTCACCATCCGCACCCTGGAGAAGACGGACAGTGACACCTACACCTGTGACATTGGGCAGGCCCAGTCCCAGGCCCGGCTCCTGGTGCAAGGTGAGTGGCTGGTGCAGCCACAGTGCTCACGTGTGCCCTGGCTTTCAGCACCTCGGGGGCTCAGGTGGGCCTTATTGAAACTGACCCTAGAGGCTCTGCTTGGCCTGCCCAGCCTCTCCATCTCTGAGGTAGAGGGGATGAGCTGGGGGCCTCTGGGGTGCTCCCTGTGCCTTTCAGTGGGTGAGTCGATGGCTTCTTCCCCTGGAGCCATCCTTGCCTGCTGCACGTTCCTCCAGGGCTCAGGCGCACTCTGCTCTGGGCCTGCACACCTTTTTTCCTCTCCCTGCCCACCAGAAGGGCAACCTGACCCAGATGCTGACAGCAGGGAGCCCAGGTGTTCCCAGGGTGGAGCTGTTAGTGTGTCTGTGACAGTAGATGTCTAAACAGGTGGAGGGAGATTCTCCAAAGAATAATGATGTCACTCGGAAGAGTGGAGAGTTGCAGGGCTATGGTAAACTAAACGTGTGCCAGGGAAGCTAAGGCCAGGGGAAGGCTTTGGGGCACAGCAGGGAGATAGCCAGGTCCAGAGTTGGTGGCCTTGGAGACCCCATGCAGGTGCTGGTTTCTGCGTAGGTGGAGGCCACTGCTGTGCAGGTGTTCTGTCAGAGGTCTGGTTTGCAGTGCTGTGGTCTGAAGGAATGGAGCGACTTCTGCTCCTGAGCTGCTGGGTGTGAGGTGTAGGACTGGGAGGTGTTGAGAATGTGCCCATCTGAGATGGGCAGGCGGAGCCTTCCCTGGGGAAACTTCCACCTCTGGTTTTGCCAGGGTCTCAAGGAGCGTTTCTCCTGGATAATGGCCTTTCACAGTGGTTGTGAGGGCTTGTTTGCATCTGGTGTACTGGGTGAGAGCCACCATTTTTCTTGCTTTGCAGACAGGTAAATTGGAACTAAAAGGGTCTGTGGTGGCCTGGGGTTGCAGGATGTACCACCAGCATCAGGACAAGTGCGTCCCAGCCCTCCCGACCATCCTTCACCTGGCCCTGGCATCTTGGGCTGGCATCCAGGGCCAAGTTTGCTAGAAGTTCTTTCTGGGTCTATCTTCTGGGGATGGCAGAATGGTGTCGAGAGCCTTGCAGACCTGAGCTGGGAGATGGGACTGGGACTCAGAAGTCACCCTGAGTCAGAGTGTTCTGCACTGTTCAGCTCCCACGTGCATCCTGTTGTCAACCCTGACTGGCTAACCAGTCACTTGCTTGCTGCTGGGAGCCCTCCTTGGGTCTGGAGAGAGCCAGACTTCCCTGGGCAGCAGGCCCTGATGGCTGTCTGTGCCCTGCAGGGCAGAGGGTGCTCATCACGGAGGAACTGCAGGACATGGAAGTGCACGAGGGCTCCTCAGCCACATTCTGCTGCCGTGTTGCCCCTGCTGACCACGGGCCTGTGCGCTGGTTCCTGGACGAGACACCCTTGCATGCCAATGAGCTCAATGAAATCGTGGTCCAGCCTGGGGGGTACCATGTGCTCACCCTGCGGCAGCTGGCGCTCAAGGACTCGGGTACTATCTACTTTGAGGCGGGTGACCAGAGGACCTCGGCCACCCTGCGGGTCACTGGTAGGTTTTGTACCTCAAGGCCAGGGCCATTTGGGGTGGGGATGTCATACTGTTCATGCTGCTCAGGGTACAGCTTTGAGGAGGGTGGGCAGCAGCTCAGGTGACAGCTGGGTCATGTCTGAGCGTGGGTGCAGACTCATGGTGACGTGAGACTAGCTGTCCTCAGCATGGGGATCCTAGGAAGGCAGGTGTGTGCACTGGGGCTGTTTGGGATGAACGCCCCTCGGTAATGCTCAGAATCGTGGTCAGCATGTCTCAAGGTGACCTGCTCCCTGCCAGGGCGAGAGCCACACAAAGCCCACCCTGTCCCCTCAGCATTCCCGTCTGTGGCTGCAGCCCGAGGCAGCGGCAGACATGGACAGGATGATGACCATCTGCAGCAGGGGCCCCTCTTGCAGCAACACCACAGCCCCAGGGACCCTTGGCTCCTTTCTCTTCCCCCAGAGAAGCCGAGCATCTTTTCCCGGGAGCTCACAGATGCCACAATCACAGAAGGCGAGGACTTGACCCTCATGTGTGAGACCACTGCTCCTGACACCCCCGTGCACTGGACCAAGGATGGGAAGATGCTGCGGCCATCTGCCCGGTGCCAGCTGAGCTACAAGGGCTGCTGTGCCCAGCTGGTCATCGCAGGTGCCACTCCGCAGGATGGTGGTCGATATAAGTGTGAGGCTGGCGGGGCCTGGAGCAGCTCCATTGTCAGGGTCCAAGGTGAGCTCAGTGCCTGTGGCTCCCAGTCTACCTGGCAGGCAAGGGCTGGGGTGCATGGGTGTCCATGTTGGTGGGTGGCCTGAACTGCATGGCTTCCCTCCTGCTGCTGACCTGCCTCACTCCTGGCTCCCTGGCTTTCTGGCCCCTTGGCTGGCCTCAGATTGCTTGGGCTGCCCCATCCTGGGCAGATGGGAACCAGGACCTCACCTCCCGGCCTGGAGGCTTAGGGTCTTGAGGTCGTAGGTCGCAGGGCTGGTGCCTTCTGAAGCCACCCGCCTGCATGTTCTGTGTGTGTCTGGAATTAGGGTCCACTTCTAATTATCTGCCTCCCACACTGTGTCTGGAGGTCCTGGGTCAGGCTCCGGCGCCCGTTTCTTGGGGCATGCTGGTCTGCCGCAGGTCTGCCGTGTGCCTGTCCTGCTGGCCTGCCTCCTGTGACCCTTCAGGAGTGCGGCAGCAGGGCTGGGACCACTCCCACCCTGGCTGAGAACCTCGTGGCTGGGGGTTCCTGCTCAGGGAGGTGAGCAGAGCATGTCTCTCCGCAGCTCGGCCGGTTAGGTTCCGGGAGGCGCTGAGGGACTTGGAGCTGCCGGAGGGTGGTGCCGCCACGCTGCGCTGTGTGCTCTCCTCGGTGGCGGCGCCCGTGGAATGGCGCCACGGGGAAGATGTCCTGAGGTCCAGCAGCAAGTACAGCCTGCGCCAGGAGGGTGCTGTGCTGGAGCTGGTCATCCGGGACCTGCAGCCCCAGGACGGGGGCAAGTATTCCTGCTCCTTCGGGGACCAGACGACCTCAGCAACACTCTCTGTGAAGGGTGAGCACCTCTGCCTGTCTGCTTGCCCACATAGCCTGACTGGCTGCTTGACACTGTAGAACAAAGTGATGTTCTCTGTGTCTTTGGTCCCCTCAGCCCTGTCTGCCCAGTTCATAGGAAAACTGAGAAATAAGGAGGCCACGGAAGGGGCCACGGCCACGCTGCGCTGCGAGCTGAGCAAGGCGGCCCTTGTGGAGTGGAGGAAGGGGACAGAGCCCCTCACAGATGGGGACAGACTGAGCCTGAGGCAGGAGGGGGCTGTGTGTGAGCTGCAGATCCAGGGCCTGGCAGAAGAGGATGCTGGGGAGTATTCGTGTGTGTGTGGGCAGGAGAGGACCTCGGCCACTCTGACCGTCAGGGGTAAGGACCACTGTGGCTATGCAGGCGGGTCTTGGTACCAAGTATGGACCCACTCTCCATCAGCTTGTCCCTTTCCCTCCCGTCTGTGCCACCCTCCTCTTGTAGACCACAGGGTCCTTCCTGCTTCCTGGGCTGTCGTGAACCAGGAGACTCCAGTGGCCATGGCCAGTGTCCCTGATGTCACTGTGGCCTCCCCTGTTACCCTGCTGGCTCGTCTTGTCCTTTGTCTGGTCACGTGCTGTCTCCCAACATCACAGTGAACCTGAGGCCCTGTGTTTTCTGACCCTCCCCAGCTCTGCCCGCCCACTTCGTAGGAAGACTGAGGAGTAGGGAGGCCACGGAAGGGGCCACGGCCACGCTGCGCTGCGAGCTGAGCAAGGCGGCCCCCGTGGATTGGAGGAAGGGGACAGAGTCCCTCACAGACGGGGACAGAATGAGCCTGAGGCAGGAGGGGGCTGTGTGTGAGCTGCAGATCCAGGGCCTGGTTGAGGAGGACGGCGGAGAGTACTCGTGTGTGTGTGGGCAGGAGAGGACCTCGGCCACGCTGACCGTCAGGGGTAAGGACCATGTGTGTCCTCAGGCACTGGCTGCTGTGTGTCTGAAGACAATCTCAGGTTCCCTGTGTGCTGTGTCTGCTGTGTCCTCCGCTGCTGTGTGCTCTCAGGCTTCTCTCACACTTGCACTGTGGGGCCTGGCTCAGACCCAGAGCAGCAGAGAGTGGGCTTTTCCCGGCCCCGTGGGTCACAGCCTGAGATGGAGAATGTGGGTGAGGCCAAAGCATTAAGATGGCGCAGGAGGCCTTCAAGGGGTGCACGCTGGAGAAGGTGTGGGCGGGAGACAGAGGAGGAGCAAGTGGAGGGGACTCTTACAGGTTTCCCTCCAGCCAGGGCAGCTGCCTGCACTGGGGCCGTCTGATGGGCAGGTGAGGGCCCCAGTGTCTGTTCAGTGTGGCGGGAAGGATCTCCCTCAGCTGTGAGGGGCCTCTCACCCAGGATGCTGCTGTCTCTGCTCCCATGTCAAGAGTCAGGAAGGGACTCCTGGGGCAGTAAAGTGTATTGTGGGGCGGGGCATGGCCATCTGTTCACCTCCACCTATAGTGGAGGCCCCACTATGTGCACAGATGTTGGTGACCTCTGTGGAGAGGCCCCAGTGCCATGACATGTTGGAGCATGGACGGAACGTGTTCCTGCACAGAGGTAGACCCCGGTGTGACAGAAGCATGTGCACACCAAAGCCCACCGTGTTGCTGCAGGACGTTGGAGGGAGGCCACCGGGAAGATGCTCCCTCCCTCGACTCAGGGAGCGCTGCCTGTGGCTGGGAAGTGGGACCCTGCTGACCACCTGAGAGCTAATTCCAGAACTGGGTGTGGCCCAGGAAGGACCAGAGGTGCACAGCCCACCTGGGCCCTTCCAGAGAGTGCTTCACTTTCTAGGATGCCCCGAGGCACTGTTGCCCTGAAGCCCCTGGGGCGGACGGACCTGGGCTGGTGGCTGGAGGGCTCCAGGAGCCAAGCTGTCCTCCCTTCTCTGTGGGGGCTACCCATGTGCTGCCGTGGATGGGCCGTTGTTCAGTTGTGGGTTATCTCGTCAATTCTGCTGTGGAGGCGAGCTTGCTGGCACTGTGAACAATGGACATGGACCCTGTGGCTGTATGCTCCAGGGTGACAGTTCCAGGAGGAGAGTGGGGGCTTCTCTCCCTGGCCAGGGTGCTCCTTTTCTTGGTTTGCTCTGGAAGATGGAGTCGGGTGTGATTATGGGAGGGTTTCAGGCAGGCTGTTGATGTCTCCAGCCATCTATCAAGATCAGAGAACAGCTGTTACAGAGACCTTCAGAGAAGTTGTGGCCAGGTGTGGTTTGAATGCAGCTGCTGGCCAGGCTAGGCCCTTCAATCTGGTGCTGTACAGAATCTGAGCTGGGCCAGGCCACAGAGGACACTGTGGAGGAGCATGACCCTTTCAACCCATGTTCCTGCCCATCCGTCTGGGCCCTGTGACCTTCTGTGGGCCTGTCCTCATGCTGAGGCCCTCTTCCACATCTCACTGGCCTCCACATGAATGGACAGCCAGTCTGCTGTCCGACCCCCTGGGCTGCCTGTGTCTGGTGCTTCTATAACTGTTTCCAGGTTGTCTCCCTTGCTGAGTGCCGTGTCTTACCCCACGTGTTCTGCAGAGACCCTGGTGTTCTTTGTGGACTCCTCAGGCCAGTCCCGTTCATGCCAGGCATGAGGTCCATGGATGCTTGGAATAGACCCTGGCTGGGAAGCATGTGGGCAAGACCACGGGAAGCCTCAGCCCACAGATGGTGCTGAGCAGCCCAGCACCGGACATGTCCAGCTGGGCTCACGTCCTCTCTGTACTGTCTGTGTCCTGTCTCTTCTGTGCACTCAAAGAGCATAATTGCATCCATGTCTTTCTGGCCCCCAGCCCTGCCTGCCAGGTTCACAGAGGGTCTGAGGAATGAGGAGGCCGTGGAAGGGGCCATGGCCACTCTGCGGTGTGAGCTGAGCAAAGAAACAGCAGTGGTGTGGAGGAAAGGAACAGAGACCCTCAGGGAAGGCCACAGACACAGCCTGCGACAGGAGGGAGCCTTGTGTGAGCTGCAGATCCGGGGCCTGGTTCTGGAAGATGCTGGGGAGTACTCCTGCATGTGTGGGCAGGAGAGGACCTCGGCCATGCTGACCATCAGGGGTAAAGAATGTGTCTTCATGGGTTGTGGCTTGGCATCTTTGTGTCGTCCACTGCCACTTTCTGCTCCATTTGTAGTACTGCTCCTGCATGGTCTGTGGCCCTGTCCTCTGCCTGGGGTCCTCCTGCTCTTGTTCATGTGCTGTGTTGTCCTCCCCACTGCCCATTTCCCTCCACATCTGTACATTAGTTCACCATCCACACTGTGTGGCTATGTGTGTGGTTCTTTGTGGATCACATGTGCCTTTGGAGTCCTCCAGACTGCCCCATGTTCTCAGTGATCGCTTGGCCCTCCCCAGCCTTGCCTGCCAGATTCATAGGAGTGAGAAGCCAAGAGGCCACAGAAAGGTCCATGGCCACTCTGCGGTGTGAGCTGAGCAAGGTTGCCCCTGTGGAGTGGAGGAAGGGGTCTGAGACCCTCAGGGATGGGGACCTGTACAGGCTGAGGCAGGAGGGGGCCACGTGTGAGCTGCAGATCCAGGGCCTGACTATGGCAGTGGCTGGGGAGTACTCGTGCATGTGAGGGCAGGAGAGGACCTCGGCCACGCTGACCGTGAAGGGTCATGGCCACTGTGGCTTCCCCGTGCCTCCTGTCTCCTGTCTCCTTATCAGGTGGTCTGTGTCTTCCCTGTGTCTCTTGATGATGTCCTCTGATTCCCTGCCAGCCTTCTGGGTGGTCCCTCCCAGGTGTGCACCAGGGATGTCCTGGGCCAGAGTCAGAGTGGACTCCAGGGGTGCCGGGCAGAGACCCGGGGAGCAGTAGTGAAGGGCTGGTGCCTTGGTCCACTCAGGCTGCTCTAAGGAGGTGCCACAGACTGGGTGGCTCAGAGGACAGGGTCATGTCTCTCCCAGCTCTGGAGGCCATCATCCATCACAGCTTCTCAGCAGGGCTGGTCCCTCCTGAGGCCACTCCAGGGCTTGCAGATGCCATCTTTCCCCCTGTGTCCTCATCTCTTCCTCTATGGGTATTGGTCACCCTGGATTTGGGCCACCTGATGACCTTCTTCCTCCTTGAACAGTCATGTTCTGAGATGCCAGGTTAGGATTCCAACCTGTGGCACCCACCAGTGACCCTAGGGTTCAGGTCCTTCTCACATGCAAAATACACTGAGTTAGCCCCACCCAGCATCAGACCTTGTCTAGTCTCGTCTGAATGTCCCCAGGTTGAGACTGGATTCCAGCTCACCTCAGGGCAGAGTTCCTCCCTGGCTGTGACTAGAGCCAGGCAAGGCACATGCTTCCAAAGTGTGGTGGGCCCAGTGTGGGACAGACCCTCAGAGGAGCAGGAACAAGGATGTGGGTCACAAGTCCAGATAGTCGGGAACAGTAGAACCAAGCTCCCTGGATTTCAAGGCTGGACAGCACTCTGCTTTGACTTGGTGCTCTGTCCTGCAAACCTACCAAGGTTGAAGTCTGCCCCCAGCCTGAGTGGAGCTGGCTGGTCCTCTGAAACCGAGCAGGGGACAGCCTCGTGCTCTTCCAGGCATGTGGCAGTGGTACTCCTGCCACTCTGACCAACTTCATGGCCGTCTTTTGCTTGAGGGGAAGCCCATGTGTGTGGCTAGTGGCTGTGCTCATCCTGTGGCAGCGTCCTTCATCTCACTTGACTGCTGTCCCTGCAGTCCACGCTGCCAGCATTCCTGCTGCTATAACGTTTTCAGCCAGGCATGGTGATCCACGCCTGTAATCTGAGTGACACAGGAACCTGCGGCAGGAGGACAGAAAGTTTGAGGCCAGTCTCGGCAACTTAGTGAGGCCCTAAGCAATTTAGCAGGACCCTGTCTCATATAAAAACTCAAAAGGGCCAGGGATGTGGCGTGGTGGTAGAGCACCCTGGGTCCCATCTCCAGTCTCCAACCACGTGTGTATCTTCAGGACCTCTGTTCTGCCTCGAGGTTGGCGAGTGTCACACCTCTGGCACGCGTGTCCTGCGCAGGGCTTTACTGTTACCCTTGGCAGTCTTGGCTCCCAGGGAGGAGCTGCCTGGTCACCAGCCACCCGTGAGTCCCCTTAGCAGGTGCTCAGCCATGCCTGACGCTCTCAGGGCATCTCCCACTCTCTTCACTGTGGATCCAGGTGTTTTCTAAGTCTTCGGGGCTGGTTCCTTGTTGATGGACAGTTCTGCCTTCTCACGCTCTCCTGTGAGCCATAGGGAGACAGCAGGCCATCCCTGCCACACTTGGCTTAGCTGTCTCCCAGCTGGACATCCATCTGGTCCTGCTGTTTCCCACTGTTGCCCTCCACAGAACACTGGAGCACAATCTGGCCACTTCTGTGCCACTTCATAGCCAGGATCAGCTTTCTTCCACTCCCCAGGAGTGTTTCCCTGTGTCCATCTAGTCCTGGCCAGAAGCACTGTTAGTGTCTATATTCCCTCTGTCAGGCTCTTTCTGGCCAGCTGGGCTTTTTCTAGCATATACCTCAAAAGTCTTCCAGTCTCTGGCTGCCATCCAGCTCCAAAGCTGTTTGTAGTTCTTGTGGGACCTGCTGACAGTGTGGCTGGAGCCTGCAGTGAGAATCCCACTTGTGAGGCAGGGAGGCTCACAACTGGGAGCGGCCTCCCACAGGGTCCAGGGAGAGGGGTAACCGCGTGGTACAGACGTGAGCTCACAGCTCTAGGCACCTGGTGTGCTTCCCAGCAATGAAAAGTTGTGGGTGGGCAAGATGCCCTTGAAGGAGGACCTGGAACGGAGCCCTGCTCCCAGCCACCTGCGCGTGCAGGACCTCACTCAGACCCTCACAGATCTCCCACTCCTGTGACCCTCCAGCCGTCCTGCTTTATTTTCCTTCCTTGATGTTCGGGTCTTGACCTCAGAACCTGCAGAAGGTTTGATGGCCTCTGTCCATGTGATCCTTCCTAGCCTTGCCTGCACGATTCACTGAAAATCTGAAGTCCAGGGAGGCCATGGAAGGGACCACGGCCACACTGAGGTGTGAACTCAGCAAAGAGGCCCCTGTGGAGTGGAGGAAGGGTGTGAAGACCCTCACCAGTGGGGACAGACTCCGCCTGAGGCAGGACGGGGCTGTGTGTGAGCTGCAGATCTCCGGCCTGGCCACAACTGATGCTGGGGAGTACTCGTGCGTGTGCGGGGAAGAGAAGACAGCAGCCACGTTGACCGTGAGGGGTAAAGACTACATGGCCGAGTAGATCTGTGTTCTGGTGTCCACATACTGACCTCATGTCAACTGTCCACTCAGTCCACCTCTCTTCCGGGTCTGTGACACCCTCTTACCCCTGCATGGGATTGTAGCCAGCTGGTTTGTCAGTCTGTCTCTTGTCCTCATTATTGTCATGTTCTGTCCCCTGAAGTTCCCCAGCACACCTGGGGTTCTTCATGTGTTTCAGACCCTCCCTGGCCTTGCACGTCAGGTTCACAGGGAGGCCTGCGGAGGCCACAGAGTGGGCCAGGGCCACATGTGCTCAGGCTGCATTGGGGAAAGATGAAGGCCTTGGTGCTCAGCACACCCAGCAGGGGGCTTATGTACAGTTGCATTTCATGTCCTTTCTGTTGTGCATGTCCATCCTCTCCACGTGCCTGGAGAGCATGATTGCATCCATGTCTTTCTGGCCACCAGCCCTGCCCGCCAAGTTCACAAAGGGTCTGAGGAATGAAGAGGCTGTGGAAGGGGCCACGGCAATGCTGCAGTGTGTGCTGAGCAGAGAGGCCCCTGTGGAGTGGAGGAAGGGTGTGAAGACCCTCACCAGTGGGGACAGACTTCGCCTGAGGCAGGACGGGGCTGTGTGTGAGCTGCAGATCCAGGGCCTGGCCCGGGAAGATGCCGGGGAGTACTCGTGTGTATGTGGGCAGGAGAGGACCTCGGCCACGCTGACAGTCAGGGGTAAAGACCTCGTGTGGCCATGTGAACCTCCAGCTGGTGTCTGCACCCTGTCTCCGCCTCCTACCTCCTGCATCCACACATGGCCCAGCTCCTGTGGCAGCCCCGTGGCCACCTGTCCTTTCCTCCCCTGGGCTTCTTTCATCTCTCCTTCTTGTGTCCATGTCCATCCTACTGCGTACTCTGTTCCTCTGTGTTTACTTGCTTCCTTCCTCATCTGTGCCACCACCCACCTGTCCACATCATGGTCCTCTGGCAGTGTGTGGCCCCATGTTCTCAGTGACCGCTTGGCCCTCCCCAGCCCTGCCCGCCAGATTCATAGAAGATCTGAGAAGCCAAGAGGCCACAGAAGGGTCCACGACCACTCTGCGGTGTGAACTAAGCAAGGCAGCCCCCGTGGAGTGGAGGAAGGGGTCTGAGACCCTCAGAGATGGGGACCGGTACAGGCTGAGGCAGGAGGGGGCCACGTGTGAGCTGCAGATCCAGGGCCTGACTGTGGCAGAGGCTGGGGAGTACTCGTGTGTGTGTGGGCAGGAGAGGACCTCGGCCGTGCTGACCGTCAGGGGTAAAGACCTCCCATGACTGTGGGCTTGTTTGGGTTTCTGCCTTTGCTCTGCGTCCAGCCATGGCTATGCTGCCCCTGTTGTCCAGAGGGAGGGTGCCCTTTCCCTCTGTCTCATGCTGTTTCTCTGTCCTGCTTGGATTTCTGTCATAGCACTGCCCAGTGTACTAGTGCCTTGCCAGTCTTTCCAGGGACCTCATATGGCCAGCTGTCATGGAGGGACAGAGTTCCCACCTTGTTTTCCTAATCACCTTTTGTCATTCCTCCTCAATCTCTGCATGCCACTTATAGCCCAAGATTTTCATTTGGGGGCCCTAGGGGTTCTGATGCCCAGGGAGGTTCCCCAGCCTGGGCTCTGCACCTTGTCCCTGATTGCCAGTGTGTCCATGTGAGGCAGTCAGCACCTGCTGCCCCTCAGCATCTCAGGGGCATGAGGGACAATCCTGCCTGGGGATTACTGGGACAGCCTGGCCTGCAATGGGGAATTATGGCCTTTCCCGTGGACTCAGCCATGCCCTAGGGTCTGGCCTGGGGAGGCACAAAGCCCTGCCCTGTGATCTGAAACCCGTGACCCTGTCCTGGGGTCTGGGAGGAACAGGGCCTTGTCCACAGTCTGGGAAGGATATTGCCTTGTCCTGTGGTCTTGGGGAGAATCACCCTTCTCTGGGGTCTGGTGGGAGTGGGACAAGGTCTTGTGCTGGCCAAATGACTGTATGACTGGACTTGGCTCTGCTCTGGTGGTCCAAGGGGGACACAGCCCTCTGGCAAGGCTAGAGGTCCTGAGGGGGAGGCTGCCATTAGAAAAGCCTGTGGCAGATCTCTGCTCTGCCCCCAGCTTCCTCACCTCCCTCCTTACATAGACCCGTCCTGTGGAGGTAGGCCAAGGGGCTGGGAGAAGCTGGGCTCCCCAGCTCTGGCCAGCTGTGTGCCTGATCTTGACCCTGCCTCCTCCCCATCTGCAGTTCCACAGGCTGTGTTCCGGGAGCCCCTGCAGTGCCTGCAGGCCGAGGAGGGCTCCACAGCCAGGTTGCAGTGCGAGCTGTCCCTTCCCAATGCCACTGTGGTCTGGAGCAAGAACGGCCTGGAGCTGCAGGCTGATGGGCGCCGGGAGTTGCAGCAGCGAGGCTGCACCGCCGAGCTGGTGCTGCGGGACCTGCGCCGTGAGGACGCGGGCGAGTACAGTTGTGCTTTCGGCTCCCAGGCTACCAGTGCCACCCTCACGGTAACAGGTGGGCGACCAAGACAGGGCGAAGCCTAGCGTGGGTGCAGAGTCCGCGCTGACCCTCAAGGCTGCAACCTGGGGGGTCCCAGCAGAGAGGACCCGGCTCAGTGGGGCAGAGCGGACCTGCCCTAATAACTTTGCTTGCTCCTCCCACCTCGTGGTTCTGACCGCCCAGTTCCTCCCTGCGCCCCAAAACCACAGGACAAGGCTGTGGACAAGGTCCTTCCTCCCAGACCCCAGGACAGGGAGCACCACCTAACCTTTCCTCTTTCTCTCTCCCTTACCCGTTGGGCGCCTCTTCCTGTGCAGTCCCCCAATTCCTCCTGGTGGCTGTGATCCCGCCCCCTCCCCGTAGTGCGGGGGTCCTGCCCCTGTGCGAAGCAGCTCGCGTGTGCTCCGCTTCTCTATATCGGCTCCAGGACCTCGCTTCCCTGGGTCTCTCCCTTTCTGGTAGCTTTGCTGGCCGGTATTGCCTCTGCCCCATGCAGTTCCCCAGTTGTTTCCCAAGGGTATGCCTTGTGGGTCCGACTCAGGATTTGTCCTGATGTGGTTCTCCACCTATAGGGTTCTGGGTCTTAAATGCTCAGAGTCTCGCTGTCATGTTCTCTTTCCTGCCCCGCAGCTGCGCCCGTGCGGTTCCTCCGGGAGCTGCAGGCCTTAGAGGTGGATGAGGGAGCTACAGCGCACCTGCGCTGCGAGCTGAGCCAGGCGGGAGCGAGCGTGGAGTGGCGCAAGGGCTCCCTGCAGCTCTTCCCCTGCGCCAAGTACCAGATTGTACAGGAGGGCTCGGCCACCGAGCTGCTGGTGCGCGGGGCGGAGCAGGAAGATGAGGGAGACTACACCTGCGATGCGGGTCAGGCGCAGACCACAGCCTCTCTTTCCATCCGCTGTGAGCTGCCCACTGGCCCCTGTGCTTCCCCAGCAGCCTCATACCTCAGGGGTGGGCAGGCACCTTGCTCAAGGCGAACATGAGGTGGGAACCCGCAGTCTTAAGCTTTCCTTTCTTGTCCCTCAGCCCCCAAGCCCAAGTTCAAGACCCGGCTGCAGAGTGTGGAGCAGGAGGCAGGCGGTGTGGCTCGGCTCTGTTGCCAGCTGAGCGAGGCTGAGCCAGGGGCCCCTGTGCAGTGGCTAAAGGAGGGCGTGGAGCTGCCTGTGGGCCCCAAATATGAGATGCGGTGCCAAGGGGCCACGTGCGAGCTGTTGGTCCACGGGCTGGAGGCCAAGGACACAGGAGAGTATGCCTGTGTGGTGGGTGGCCAGAAAACCTTGGCCTCCCTCAGGGTCAGAGGTGAGCCAACCAGGACCTCATGCCACACCGTCTTCCTGACAGCTCCCCTGGGGGCATACCTGGCTGTGACAAGTGCAGCTCACAGGGTGGTGGAGGTCCCTCAGGTTATAGGCTCTCTTCTTCCTACACCACCCCCATTCTGATCCTCCAAGAGAAGGGCTTTATGGGGGTAGGCACGAAGCCTGCAGCACTGAAGGCTGTGCTCCCTCCTGCCCCCCAGCTGGCAGCAGACTGGCCTGAGCTGGCCTGGTGGCCCTTTCTGGCACCTACCTGCTCTTCCTGAAGGTCTTACTTTCCTGGTGACCTGGCCAGGACTGGGCCTGCAGCAATGTTGGAGCCAAACAGGGCATCTATCCACTGTCCTGCAACCAGAGCTGTACCCTTGGCCTTGGGGAGACAGCCGCCCCAGCTATTACTAGACTCATTGAGTGAAGCAGCTGGCAAATGCCACACAAGGCAGAGGAGTGTTAGGTGGCCAGGAAGGCTTTCTAGAGGGGCACTGGGGCTGGCCCAGCCTGAAAAGGGACCCTTCTTACCACCCACTAGAGCCTGAGGTGACCATCGTGAGGGGCCTGGTTGATGCCGAGGTGCAGGCTGACGAGGATGTGGAGTTCAGCTGTGAGGTGTCACGGGCTGGGGCCACAGATGTGCAGTGGCGCCTCCAGGGCCTGCCACTGCAGAGCAACGAGGTGACAGAGGTGGCTGTTCGGGATGGCTGCATCCACACACTCCAGCTGAAGGGTGTGACACTTGAGGACGCTGGCACCGTGTCCTTCCATGTGGGCAGCCATGCATCTTCTGCTCAGCTCACTGTCAGAGGTAGCCAGCTCTGGGTGGGCCTGCCCTATCACTGCCCCTGGGAGGCTGTCCCGGCCCAGCCTCTGTTTGGGCCAGAAGTGGACAGCAAGGGTCCCTGCTTTTGGGAACCTTGGGTGTTAGTAGAGAGAGGGACTATGAACTGGCCATTTCTTAGTAGCTCCAGTCAGGACGGAATGATTCTGGGCTGAAGACTGAGTCATGCTGGTGAGCAGGCAGTGGTGGGCTTCCCAGAGCTTACCAGTTTTAAAGCTCCAGTTTCCCTCTCCTGATTTTCATGAGGGGTCACTGCAGACTGGCCGCCCCAGCCTTCAGCCATCTTGGCATTTCCCTTTGGTCAGAGCCCTGGCTAGAGGAAGGACTGATAACACACCCCCATGTACTGTCTTCAGGAATTGGGGTGGGGTCACCAGGGAGGACCCCCAGGATATGGAAGCTATGCTAAAGAAGGGAGCATCCTGGACACAGAGGCTGACACCCATGCCTACCCTGTGTCTAGTCCCAGAGGTGACCATCCTGGAGCCCCTGCAAGACATGCAGCTGAATGAAGGCCAGGATGCCCACTTCCGGTGCCGGCTGTCCAGAGCTGCAAGCCAGGAAGCCCGCTGGGCTTTGGGAGGGGTACCTCTGCAGGCCAACGAGATGAATGACATCACCGTGGAGCAGGGCACACTTCACTTGCTCACCCTGCACAAGGTGGGGCTCTGGGACTTGTTCCACTTGGACAGGGATGGTTCCAGCTCCATTCAGAAAGACCCTCCGCTAGGGGGTCGGGTTAGGGAGGTGATGAGCCCCATCACTGGGGGCTGGCTAGATGGACCAGTCCTTCCTGTCAGGATGAATTGGCCAGGGCTGAGCATCTTCCTCCCTGTGTCCTCAGGTGACTCCTGAAGATGCGGGAACCATCAGTTTCCAAGTGGGCTCATGCAGCTCAGAAGCCCAGCTGAAAGTCACAGGTGGGCAGCTCTCTCCCATACCTAGGTCCTGGCCTGTGGATGCCTGTTTTCTGGGCACCACAGCGTCTTGCCTAGTGGCAGCTGGTGTGTGTGTGTGTGTGTGTGTGTGTGTGTGTGTTGGTGTGGGGAAGAAACCCTAGACTTAGCAATTTTCCAGTCCTTGATCCCTCAAGTCATGGAGTGGGGTAGGCTGGTGAAGATCTTGAGGAATGCCGTGTATGGGGGGAACACAGGCCAGGATTGGTATTCTCTGTAGGAGAGCCTTGCTGCCTTGGACCCTGAGGTGGAGACAGGGTCTTCTGGACATCATCTTCCAATGCCTGTCCTTCTGATATGGTCCGTGTGGGCCCACACACATCCATGTTGAAACACTCTTGCATACCACACAAGCTCAAAGGTGTGGATGCAACAGCTCATGCGTGACACCTGTGTGGACTCAGGCATGGTGCACATGGCCCCAGAATGCAAACAGGACTTTAGGAATCTTCAACTTGGATTGTACCTTGACTCCACAGGTCACTCTTGAGTGCATTCCCTTGCTGCCCTATTCCTGGTTCTCAGACTGGTCCCATCAGTCCACACCAATCATCCATTCATCCATCCACCCCTTAACCACCTCTCCATCCACCCTCCCATCCATCCATCTCTATCCATACATTTATTTATCAACCATCCATCCATCTACCATTCATTCATTTACTACCACCATCTGTCCACTGTCCACTCATGCACCCATTATCCATCTGTCTATCCCTCCACTTTCCACTCATCTATTACCTATCTTCCATATCTAGCTATCCACATAGCTTTCCACTCATCCTCTGTCCATCCATTTATCACACATTCCTTCATCTACCACCAGTTCATTATCATTCTGTCCATCCACTAACCCATTAACTATCCATCCATCCACCCATCAACCATCTACCAGCCACTATCAAACCACTTATCTACTCACCATTGCGGAAGCCCCTACCATGGTCAAGTCCTGGACCTTGAGGTCCAAAGGTAGCTTTGCCCTCAGGGATTCCCCGTCTGCTTGGAGGATCTGGACATGGAGACAGTGTATGTTTGAATCTCATGCTCTCCTCCCCAAAAACCTAAAGAATGGACAGATATGGTCAGCTCTGTGGCCTGGGGGCTGGGAAAGGCTACTTAGTGCCTTAGGTTGAGTGATGAAGATGAAGTGTCATGGGTTTCCTGAATGGGAGCAGTGCAGGAAGGGCCTTGTGTGTTCCTGGGGCGATGACTATGTGGGGGTGACATGGCTCTGTGTCCCTTGCCTGGGAAAGATGGCTCATTATGCATACCTCACTGTGATCTCAGGGGGAGGGCCCTGGGCCTAGGTGTGTGAATGGATGTCCAGGTAGGGGTGTGATAGGCAGACCTGGGAACTGGTGCTGGAGGCAAGACCCAGGAGCTGGCGGAGCAGGAGAAGGAGGTGCAGATGTACGCTTGGGGAAGGCAGGTGCTGGTGGGTTGCATCAACGGGGAGGAGTGTGGAGAGGCTCCTGAGGGAGGGCTTGCTGGGGTGGGCATGGGGGCTCTGGTGTCTGCCAGTGACTCCCACCTGTCCCATGTGGCCCGCCTCATGGGGTAAAGGCATCTAGGCCTTACCAAGCTGAACAGTGTCTCTGTCTTCACAAGGAGGCCCCAGGATGGCCCGTGGAAAGTGCTCAGAGAAGCATAGGGTGGGGGTGACATCCTCCCTGCCTGGCCCCAGGCAGCAGGTGGTGGAAGAAGTCTCTGTCTGGTCCTACTGGCTGTCCTGTGGGGGATGGGAGGATTAGACGTGGATGCTGGTATCCTCTCCCTCCAACCACCCTGAGTGTCCATCAGGAGGTAGACAGGATGGAGACTGTATGGAGGACACAGGAGGGCAGCCATGATTCATCTGGGAAGGCCCTGAGCTCGGACCTTCTGTGTGACAGGGACAGGAATATTTGGATCCAGCATCAGGGCCCTGAACCCTGGGGCTGAGGGACTTCAGAGGACAACTGGATGAGGTGCCCTCTTGGTATTGGAGGTGCCCCCAAGGACAGAGAGGTCCCCTTCTGAGGCCAGCCACCACCCCCTGGGGAGAAGCAGGTGCTGGGGCCTCTGCTTCCTGCCCTAACCTGGGTCAGACGAGGCATCTGCACTAGAAGGAGCCCCAGTCATGGGGCTTGGGGCTTGTCTGCTCTCCTGATGATCAGGGTACCATGCATGGCATGGCCTCCTCTGGGTGAAACCTGTAGTGTTCTGATGGGGTGTGAGCTGGGCTCACCGTGGTGGCCTCTGTGCCTCCCTCTGTGATGAGGGTGGATTTCTAGACCCCAGGGCTCAGGTCATCCTTTTGGTCTGGATGGTGCCAGCAGGCCCCAGGGTGGCCCCACACCAGTGAATCTCAGAACTAGGCCAGCACATCCCATTTCCGACATCTGTTCTAGAGAACGGTCACTATTCTCTTCCTGTCATACTTCCTCAACCTAGAACATTTGACCAGACACTCCCAACAGACATAAGCAGTTCTCCAGTGGACACCCACTGGGTGTCTTGTGATTCAGTTCTGACACTATCTACCCAGATTTAGCACAGACCCTGCAAGCTAAGGGCTCAGTCCATAGGCTTCCCCGGCTTCAGATATCAATGGCAAATCTCAGGTTGCTACCCAAACTTCTGAGTGGCTTCAAGTGAGGGCTCCCACTGTCCTCTCCTCATGCTTGACCAGTTTGCTAGGACAACTCACAGAAGTCAGGGACACACTCACCTTGGATAGCTTGTTGCAGAGGATCCCGCTCAGGGACAGCCAGGTGAAAGACAAGAATGGGAAAGGACACAGATTCCATGTCCTTTCCACGCTGCCCTCCCAGCCTGTGTTCAGCACTGTGGAAGCTCATCTGGTCTTGTTAAGAGTTTGTCTTATGGAGATTGATGTCCAACCACCCTGCTTTCTCAGAGGATGGGGCTGAGCCTTGTAACCCTGTAATCACTTGATCTTCTTGGTGACCAGTCCTTTCCTGAAGCTATCTCAGGGCTGGGCCTGAGTCACCTCATTAACATAATCTCAGGTGTGATTAAAAGAAAAAAAGAGCCTGTTATGTATAACGAAGGGACTTGCAGCATTTTCAGGAGATTCTGCTGGGTTAGGAGCTCTGGGCCAGGAACTGGGCATAAAGATAAAACCTGCTATCATAGGACACACCTGCACCAGTAGCCCCAGGTGGCCTCTAAGTGATGGACCCAGCCCTCCTTCTTGCCCTCTTATGCAGAGGCTGCACTGTGCCTGGTCCGTGGCCTGCAGAGTGTGGACGTCTTCGCAGGGGAGGTGGCCACGTTCTCCTGTGAGGTGTCTCGTGCGGGTGGGCCAGAGGCCCGCTGGTGGCTGGATGGCACCTTGCTACAGGACAGCCCCCAAAGTGCCATCACTGTGCGTGATGGGACCTTTCATTCCCTCACACTCTCGGGCCTAGGGGTGGCCGACTCAGGCACCGTCACCTTCCGCACAGGGCCCCTGGTCTCCACAGCCAAGTTGTTGGTCAAAGGTATTGACCACTGGGGATTTCCCCATGCTGGTGCTTCTGCTCCCGCTGCCACATGCTTCCTGCGGGCTCCTGGGGAAAGGGGGAGGATGGGCACTGAGGGTGGGGACTGTCCCCAGAGCCAGAGGCTGGGCATCACTCTACATGTGCCACCTACCCTGGGCACCCCAGGAGGCACAGTGAGCAGCTCTTACTTTTGAATGGGAGATCTAGCTGGAGGCTAGGTCCACTGCCACCTTCCAGGTAGGGCCAGTGCATTGCCACCTGCTTGGCCACCAGTCACCTAGTTAGCTGCACATCCCCAGCCACGGGGGCCAGTCCCTTCAGGGGCCTTTTTGGGCTTCTGAGGAGAGGCCCATGCCCTTGGCCCTGGCCTACCTATCCCTGCTCACATCTGCTCCTCTGCTGTGAGCTCAGCTGAGATCCGTGCCCTTCTGGGGAGGAGCTGGCCAGACAGGGAGAGTAGCAGCTGCCAGGGTCTCCCTAGCCCCTTCCCAACAGCTCTGCCTGGTGCCTGCTGTGTGCTGTCATGTAAAATGTGTTGAGATTTCAACAAATGGAGATGGAATGGGGGCCCTGGGTGGGCAGCAAGGCCCCTGGAGAGGAGCAAGCAGGGCAGGGGCTCTGGGTTCTGGGGCAGGCCCTAGGGCATCCAGAGGAGCCTTTCCAGTGGCGTATGTTTCTGGGGGCCAGCAGGTATGTGGGGCCAGAGGAGCTCTGCCTGGACAGAGGTGAAGCCTAGGCACTATGCTCATGGGTGAGGTGTGTCTGGTGGAGGGCTCTGGGCTGCGGTGTGGGTTCCCTTCCTAGCCACATGCCAGGCAGCTCCTGCTAAACTGTCACCATGAAGCTCCATGCTTGCAGCCGCTGAAGCCACTAACACTGAGTGGGGTGGGTGGGCCATGGTGGTGCTGTTTCTCAGGGCTGATGCGTGTCCGGCGTGTTGGCCGACAGATCCTACGGTGGAGGTGGTCAGTGCCATGCAGGACCTGGCAGTGGAGGAGGGTGGCTCTGCCGAACTCCTCTGCCAATACTCACGGCCGGTGCAGGCCACGTGGAAGATGGACGAGCGGGAGGTACACGCAGATGGGCACCGTGTCATCATAGAGCAGGACTGGACTGTGGCCAGGCTGACCTTCAGGCCGGCCCTGCCCTGTGACAGTGGCATCTATTCTTGTGAGGCCGCAGGCACTCGCGTGGTGGCACTGCTACAAGTGCAAGGTGAGGCCACCTGGCGGGCAGCCCAGGTCCAGCACGGCTTTGGCGTGGCTCTGGCCATGCAGCAATGGTGGAGTGGCAGGCAGCAACAGCCAGCTCCGCACTGCAGGGGACCTACATAGTGGGAACAGGCCGGGGAGGTGGCAGGCAACCTGCCCTGGGCCTGCACTGCTGCCGGATCAGGGCATGCTGCTGCTGAGCTTGTGCTTCTGGGAGGAACCATGGCCAAGAGAACCTGAAAAGGAGGGGGGGACAGGGGCCGAGGACCAGGGAGGCCTCCATCAGCAGGGCTATGGGGGGAGTGTACCTGAGCAGTAGCAGGGCCAGGAGTGCTTTTGGGACACGAGGACAGGGTTGTGTCCATGCCTGTGACTGAGCTGGCTGGGTGGTGTGAGTCTGCGGTCTGTGAACACCTGTGAGTTTCCTATGGTCAGGAGACCACTGTTGATGTGAGGGGCCCAAAGGGTGGGCAGGGTGTGGAGGGAACCCTACAGGCCTGGGTGCCGCCCTCCTGAAGCTGCTGGCTCTCCCAAGGGACAGTGAGGTCAGCAGTCCCTGAGCCTTGCTCTCCCTACAGCCAAGAACACCGTGGTCCGGGGCCTGGAGAATGTGGATGTGCCTGAGGGCGGGGAGGCCTTGTTTGAGTGCCAGCTGTCCCGGCCTGAGGTGGCTGCCCACACCTGGCTGTTGGACGATGAGCCCGTGCACACCTCGGAGAACGCGGAGGTGGTATATTTCGAGAACGGCCTGCGACACCTACTGCTGCTCAAAAACCTGAGGCCACAGGACAGTTGTCGGGTGACTTTCCTGGCTGGGGACATGGTCACCTCTGCTTTCCTCACCGTCAGAGGTAATGGCAATGAGAGCTGGCGGGGCGGAGGTGGGTGAGACCCCTCCTACAGGAGGTTGGGCCACTTTCTGGGCAGCCCAAGGTGGCTTCCAGGACTCTCCCACCAGAAGGGAAGTTGCTCCTTGGGAACTCCCACCCTACCTCCAAAAAGAGTTGTCTGGGCTGCTCACTCAGGGGGATGGAGGATGGGGCCTGGGACAGGAGCAGCTTGCAAGAGAGTCCTCCACCTGGGCTGGTGGCCTCTGGGAGAGTACTGGGGCCCTGCACCGCTGCTGGATCAGGGCATGCTGCTGCTGAGCTTGTGCTTCTGGGGGAACCATGGCCAAGAGAACCCGAGAGGGAGTGGGGACAGGGGCCGAGGACCGGGGAGGCCTCCATCAGCAGGGCCATGGGGGGAGTGTACCTGCGCAGCAGCAGGGCCAGGCATGCTATTGGGACACGAGGACAGGTTTTGTCTATGCCTGTGACTGAGCCGGCTGGGTGGTGTGAGTCTGCCGTCTGTGAACACCTGGGAGAGGGCAGGGCCTGGAGAGTTGCCTGGAGGCAGGACATCAGTCTTTGAGATAAGCCCTGCGGCTAGGGAATGGAGTGAGATGTGGGGAGCCCGAAGGGGGTCTCCAAGACTCCTCCAGGGGCTGGGCAGCGCTCCCAGGACTGGAGTGCAGCTTCCAATGCAGGGCGTGTGTCTCCCAGGCCCCTCCAGTGTGGGGCTCTGCAGGTAGGGAGAGCTGGTGGAGATGGGGTCTCTGTCCACTCCCACTCAGTGGGAGACCCAGTGGGCCATGCTAGGCTTGCCCTCTCTGGACCCTCCTACACACCCGCATTCATTCCACCCCTGACTGCAGGCTGGCGCCTAGAAGTCCTGGAGGCCCCCAAGGATGTGGTGGTGCGAGCTGGCGCACAGGCTCACTTCACCTGCGTGCTCAGCGAGGCCCTGCCGGTGGGCGAAGCCACCTGGTACATCAACGGAACTGCGGTACAGCCTGACGACGACTGGACCATCACAGCTGACGGCAGCCACCACACCCTGCTGCTACGCAATGCACAGCTACACCACGCTGGGGAGGTCACCTTTGCTGCCCGAGACGCAGTGACCTCAGCTCGACTTTCGGTGTTGGGTGGGTGGTTGACTGTGTCCCTTCTCTGCAGATTGGGTCACACTCCTGACACCAGGGTGGATGACCATCCTGGGCTGGGTCCTGCTATGAATCTGTCCCACCCTCAGAGTCTTAGGATGCTCCCTCCATTCCTAGGTGGCTTCTCCTGCAGGTGTGTGGGCCAGGTCACTAAAGTCTCAGGGCTGCTGTTGATCAGATGAGTCCTGGCTCAACCCTGAGTACCCCCTGAGGCCATGGTCCCCAGATCACTGCCGCAGTCCGGCTGCAGCAAACTAACCGGGGAGGGGTGACGAATAATTTGTGTACGTTGATACAGCAGGAGTAGGAGCCGTTTATTACAGGACAGGAGCAGTATTTGTACATTCCACACAGCTTATCTAATTAGCATAAACTAGATACATCAGTCAACCAATAAGGAATCTCCACACTTAATGGCTTGCTTTTGTTACTTCTCAAACCACGCCCTCTGGCATTTTGCCAGGCACCATCCAGACTTGTTTACCAACTCTAACATTCCCCTGGCAAAATGCCAGGTGTTATTTTGACTTGTTTACAGACTCTAACAGATCACCACCTACCTTCCCCTGCTTTGTACCTAGGAGAGGTCCAAGCTGGGCCCTGGAGGGGTGGGCAGGAGGAGCAAGGTTGCCAATCCATACGTGCTGGGGGCTCTCACTGGCCCCCCACTCAGAGTGGGCTCTGGGTATGGTCTCACGATGGTAGAGAAACGTATCAGCATCCCTTGCTACCAGAGCTCAGGGAGGTGATCTGCCCAGTGCCTACACTGTGTCCAAACCGGACCTCAGGGGTTGCTGGAGGGGGCCCGCAAGTCCCAGTGAATACACTGACCTACTCTTCTTCCATGCAGGCCTCCCTGATCCCCCAGAGGATGCCGAAGTGGTGGGTCGCAGTGGCCACTCCGTGACGCTGTCCTGGGTGGCTCCCACAAGCGATGGTGGAGGGGGTCTGTGTGGCTATCGGGTAGAGATGAAGGAGGGGTCCAAGGGCCAGTGGCGTTTGTGCCACGAGCTAGTGCCTGGGCCTGAGTGTGTGGTGGATGGACTGACTCCTGGGGAGACCTACCGTTTCCGAGTGGCTGCTGTGGGCCCTGCAGGTGCTGGGGAGCCTGTGCACCTGCCCCAGATGGTCAGGCTGGGTGAGTAGCCATCTTGGTCCTGGATAATGCCCAGCTTCTCCAAAGTGGAGGGAAGAGTTGGCAGGGTGAGGTCTGCACCCTGGAATGCCCCCACACCTGATGTGGCCTGTCCTCCGTGGACACTGTTCCCCAGCAGAACCAGTGGAGCCTGTACCTCCCTCGCCCCCTACCCCTGTGAGCCGGCAGGTGGTGGCCGGAGAGGATGTCTGTCTGGAGGTGGAGGTGGCAGCTGAGGCTGGCGAGGTCGTCTGGCACAAGGGGACGGAGTGCATCCAACCCAGTGGGCACTTTGAGGTCCTTTCCCGGGGTCGGCAGCAGACACTGGTGATCAAGGGCTTCAGGGCAGAAGACCAGGGCGAGTACCGCTGTGGCCCTGCCCACGCCCTGGCCTCCATGGAGGCTGCCACCTTCCAGGGTGAGTACTAGGTTTTGGGCTGGGAAACCTTGAATGTGGAAGGAGGTGGCCTGTCCTTCCCCATCACTTTCTCCCGGGAGGCTGTCAGTGCCCCACCTCTGAGCCTGATCCAGGTGCATTCCCTGTGCATGTGTCCCACCCCTGCAGTGTGGGCCTGTGATTCTAGGCCCAGGCTCACTGTGCAGAGCCATTTTCTGTTCTGGTCACCACATTGTCTATGCAGGAGGTGAACTGACATAGGGAGGGAAGACTGAGGCTCGGTGCTTCTAGACCTGGTAAAACCAGGTGCCAAGTGGGGAACAGAGGTCCAGTGATGGGCTTGGGGTCAAAGCTCTGGTGATACCCTCCTGCTCTCCTCAGTGGTGCTGACCCCTGGCTCTGGGGACGAGGCTCCCACACAGCCCAGCCTGCCCCCTGAGGCAGCCCAGGAGGGTGACCTGCACCTGCTGTGGGAGGCCCTGGCCAGGAAGCGTCGCATGAGCCGTGAACCCACGCTGGACTCCATCAGTGAGCTTCCAGAGGAGGATGGCCGCGTGCATCACCTACGGCAGGAGGTGGAGGAGGTGGCCCCTGACCTCTCTGAGGGCTACTCCACAGCTGATGAGCTGGCACGCACTGGAGAGGCTGACCTCTCGCACACCAGCTCTGACGACGAGTCCCGGGCAGGCACACCTTCCCTGGTTACTTACCTCAAGAAGGCTGGACGGCCTGGGGTCTCACCCCTGGTCAGCAAGGTGAGCCTCTGCTTGGCTTGCAAGGGGAGGCCCAGTGTTTTACCCTTGCCACTACCACCCACGTGCTTGTCCCTCCTTCCACAGATTTCTCCACCCGTGCATCATCCATCTACTGCTAAACCCTTTTCCTATAAAGCTGGGGCCAGTCTCTCTGGTGTTCCTTGTTACCCATCAGTCCCCACTAGGGACTGTATAGAGTGATTTCAGGGAGTTGGGCTTGCTTTGTGATAGCAACAAGAGCCAGCAGGTACCTCATACTCCATGAGGCTGGCACAGTTGCCAGGGCCTGAGAGGCAGAATGGATAGCCGTCCGGAGATCAGTGCTGGGCCCTGGTCTTATGTGTCTGGCCTCGGGGCCCCTGTCTCACTGTGATACTGTGCTCTGTGCCCACAGGCCAGGGCCCCAGCACCCTCCTCTGTGGAACCACAGAAGAAGCAGGAGCACCCAGCCCAGGTGCACCCACCACCGATAGGTCTGAGTGCTGAGGATCTGGGCGACCCCTCCATGGACAAGGCAGCAGTGAAGATTCAGGCTGCCTTTAAGGGCTACAAGGTCCGGAAGGAGATGAAGCAGCAGGAAGGACCCGTATTCTCCCACACATTTGGGGACACTGAGGCCCAGGTGGGGGATGCCCTGAGGCTGGAGTGTGTGGTAGCCAGCAAGGCTGATGTGCGAGCATGCTGGCTGAAAGACGGCGTAGAGCTCACTGACGGGCGGCACCACCACATCGACCAGCTCGCGGATGGGACGTGCACCCTTCTGGTCACTGGCCTGGGCCGTGCCGACACTGGTCGCTACACCTGTCAGGTGAGCAACAAGTTTGGCTGTGTGAGCCATAGCGCCTGTGTGGTGGTCAGTGGCACCGAGAGTGAGGCCGAGAGCTCCTCCGGGGGCGAGCTGGACGACGCCTTCCACCGCGCTGCCCGGCGTCTGCACCGGCTCTTCCGCACCAAAGGCCCAGCGGAGGTTTCTGACGAAGAGCTGTTTCTCAGCGCTGACGAGGGTCCCGGGGAGCCAGAGCAGCCTGCGGACTGGCAGACCTACCGCGAGGATGAGAATTTTGTCTGCATCCGTTTCGAGGCCCTGGCCGAAGCTCACAGGGCAGTCACCTGCTTCCGAGAGATGTTCACCACCATGGGCATCGGGGTGGAGATCAGCCTGGTGGAGCAGGGGCCCAGGGGGGTGGAGATGCGCATTGGCAAGGTGGCCCCTGCCCCTGCAGCACCTCCGGAGCCAGTGTCCACTCAGCTGACTTCTGATGCCGGTGAGTCCAACTGCTCCACAGAGTTGGGTCGGGAGCTGGAGTCCAAGGGGGTAGAGGAGGAGTGAGGCCAGCAGTGGCCAGCACCAGCTGAGAGGTCCAGGGGTTACCTGGGCTCCAGCACTCTGCAAGTGCAGCCTCTGAGGTGTAAAAAGTCCCGACTTATTGAACAGAGCTGAATTTGAATCTCAGCTCTGCCTCTTATTAGCTGTGTGCACTTAGGGAAGCCACATAGTCTGTCAGAGCCTCGGCTTTCATGTGGGCAAAATGGGAATGTGAATACTTACTTTCTGGAGAGTTTTATTTATTTTTTCCCAAGGAGTCTTGGAGATATAACCCGTATAGGACAGGCACCCACTTCCACAAGGCACTCCACTTCCATTTCACCCACTGAGTTACTTATCAGCCATGCCACTGTGCCTGAATCTCTGCAGGGACAGGAGGTAGCTGGGATCAGTTACCCTGGCATGCCCAGAAGTTGCTCTCCTACACTCCAGATCCCTACCAGCCCTCAGCCTTCCGCAGTTACTGCTCTTCCCATCCCTGTCTAGCGCTTCATCCCTCTTGCCTCCTGGTGGCCTGGGCAGCAGGAGAGGCTTTTAGAGAGCTGGGGAGAGGGCTAAGCCTAGCAGGGAAGCTTCAGGGTCTGTGTCACGTCAGGTCTGCAGGTGCTCCCACATGGCCTGTTGCCGGGCAGCTCACGCATGTCAGACCACCCAGCTGGTGTGATCGGTGTGTTTGTAGCCACAGGTGTGAGTGGCATGCCCAGGCTAACATGCTACATGCCCCACCTGCTGTTCTAGCCCCCGTGTTCCTGACGGAGCTGCAGAACCAGGAGGTGCAGGATGGGTACCCCGTGAGCTTCGACTGCGTGGTGACGGGCCAACCTGTGCCCAGTGTTCGCTGGTTCAAGGACGGGAAGTTGCTGGAGGAGGATGATCACTACATGATCAATGAGGACCAGCAGGGTGGCCACCAGCTCATCATCACTGCTGTGGTGCCCGCAGACATGGGCGTCTACCGCTGTCTGGCAGAGAACAGCGTGGGCGTCTCCTCCACCAAGGCTGAGCTCCGAGTGGAGCGTGAGTGCACTCTGGGGGTCTGTGTTACCAGGGTGGGGATGAGAGTCTCCTGAGCAGGGCTGGAAGAGTGATCCAGGGCTCTGGTCTCAGACCAGACAGGAGTTAGGGCCTTCAGGTCTTAAGCTGATGGAGACTTCCCTGGAGCCAAGCTCAAGGCCACAGTTCCCCCGGGAGCCCAATGGTGGAGGGTGGAGGTCTCTTGTGTCTGCTGAAGGCGTCCAGGCTGGGGAGACCAGGAAGGTGTGGAAGAGGAGCCAGGGGAGCCCAGCTGCTCAGCCATTGCCTTGGGGCTACTCTGGAGCCCTGGCTATTGTTGCAGGAGCCCTCAGGAGACGCTTGGGCGTGCTGGTAGCTGCTGCCACTGAGTATCAGGACACTTGCTCTTTGTTTAGATTCCTGATGGTGCTCATGGGCCTGGGATCTCCTGGGTGTTGAGGGTTTCTGTTGTTCTAATGAGGTGACTCTTGCAGGGTCCCTGTAGCCTTGGTGGGCAGGCCGGCCAGGAAGACCAAGCTTTGACAGGAAGCCTGGAAAGGGCCCCACCCCATCCACTGGGGATGGCGTGTGACACAGCTGGAGTAGGGTGCCCAGGCTGTGGGCCTCAGGGAACTTCGGCCTGATGGAAACAGAGGTGCTGGCAGGGGCTGTGCCCACCACACCTTGCCCGACATGATCTCACATCTGGCTGCTCCTGAGGTGTCCTTAAGACACCTTCAGCCTAGGCAACAGGACCCTTGGTTGGCTTCTATGAGCTGCCATGGCAGGTTACTCCTGCCCCAGGGAGGCCATGGGTCCTGATTTATAGCCATTGGGTCCACCCCAGCGAGGAGCCTGGGCTTCTGACTGGCCTCTGAAGCAGGTTGTCTTGGGGCCTGACCTCGCCCCAGGCAAACAGGGTCAGAGCTGAGCTGGGCTAGAGGACATGCAGCTGGCGGGTGCCCTGGCCGCAGAGCTGCTGCTGGTGTGTGTGGGGTCGTGGTGGAGGTTCCCCTGCACACAGGCATGCTTGGAGCCGTGGCATAGTGTGCGCTGATGGCTGGTCTCCTTCCAGAGCTGAAAGAGCTCTTCACGTGTTCCTGATTCCGGGCTGCATCAGAGGCATGACCTCGGTCTTTCCCTTTCTTGAGGGCACCGTGTCTGGCCTGATGAAGGCTAGGGTCTCTGCTCTTTCTTGCCTGCTTGGGCTTCGCCACACTTATGCAAGTGCTGCCTGAATGTGAGACATAAAGACCCACATGTGTGCTTTCTTCTGGAAACTTTGTGGTAGCTCTTAAGTTGAGGTCTTTGGTTCCCTTGGAGGGAATTTGTGAGTGTGAGGTAAGGCTCCAAGTTCACTCTTGCTCAACACCATTTGTAAAAGACTATTTTCTTCCATTTTATTATCTAAGAAATCTTGTAAAGTCCCCCAATTTTACCTGAATGTCACTGAGAACGTGGCAAGAAGGGCCAGGGATCTCAGGTCCTTGGCTGAGGCGCAGCTGCCATTCAGCTCCCACTGGCCCCAGGCCCAGGGCCACACCTCCCAACCATCCTGCTGGGGTAGCGTCTCAGCATGGGCACTCTGGGGACTCTTGCTTGGCCCACAGTGGTGGAAGTCCAGCTTGTTGCCCCTTCTTGGCCAGAAATCCAAGTCTCTTTCTCTTGGTTTTGAGGCTTGTGTCTCCAACCTCTCGTGCCCTGGTGGGATGGAACCAGAAGGTTCTGCCACTGTCCCTGTCTGCTGTTCCTGGAGACTCAGGTCATATGACATTTTGTGCTGGGCCTAAGAGGCTTGCAGTTAGTTATGGGTGTGGAAGAATGAGGCTGGGAACAGCAGGAGTGGGCAGGCCCAGGAGGGCGCGTCCCCCTGAAATCCCAGAGTCCTGAGCCTCCTCCACTCACTTTTCCTCCCCAGTGACCAGCACAGACTACGACACTGCCGCAGACGCCACGGAGACCTCATCCTACTTCAGTGCCCAGGGATACCTGTCTAGGTGGGGCCACACAGACAGCAGCCCAGGGCCTCCCGGGAAGTGGTGATCTGGGCTGGGTGGCTTAGATTGACTGTCCCAAGCCTGCAGCTTTCAGTCAGACCCTGGCCGTTTCTGTCCCTCTGCCCCTCCACTCAGCAGACAGGGAACCTCAAACCCATCCGCCTCTGATCTTCACCCCGTGGGCCCTCCCGCCTGGCCCCTCAGCCTGCTCCACTTTATGGCTACCCTCTTATTTGTCTTTTTTGCCAGCCGGGAGCAAGAGGGAACCGAATCAGATGAGGGGCAGCTGCCCCAGGTGGTGGAGGAGCTGAAGGACCTCCAGGTGACCCCTGGTACACGCCTGGCCAAATTTCAGCTCAAGGTGAAAGGTGAGGTGCTGGGGAGTGGGCACCGTAGCTGGAGGGAGGCCAGGAGCTGTCTCCCGTTGGTCACACGTGGGAAGGGCCTGACCAGTGGAGGTCAGGAGGTCATGTGTGCCTGCTGCTGGGCAACAGGAGGCTGCCACCCCATTCCCCACACCAGAGGCTCGCTGGCCTCTGAGCAACCTCTTTTCTGGGCCTTTGTCTGTCTCCCATCGAAAGAGTATAGTGACCATTGAGAATGGTCCTGTGCTGACCACTCTCCTCCATGGGGTAGGCTACCCAGTCCCCAGATTGTACTGGTTCAAAGATGGCCAGCCCCTGTCTGCATCTGCCCACATTCGCATGGCTGACAAGAAGACACTGCACACCCTGGAGATCGTCTCTGTCACCCGGGAGGATGCTGGCCAGTATGCTGCCTATATCAGCAATGCTGTTGGTGCTGCCTACTCATCTGCCCGGCTGCTGGTCCGAGGTGTGTGCCCTGAAGGAGTGAGCAGTGCCACATGTACTGCATGCCAGGCCCCATCAGGCCGGGGCCCAGCCCATTGCCCCTGTGCACAGTGGCACAGATGGCAGAATTGCCCCACAGGAGCGGGTGCCCAGTGGGGCTTGGATGCCCTGAGTGATGGGCAGGCTCTTGGGGGAAGCGGACGAACACTGGGCCCAGCAGACCTGCACAAAGCCCCAGTGGCAGCTCTGACAAGAAAACTCCTGTGTCCTTATTTTCCCAAACGTTCTGAGCACTGAGAGCTGACTCCCAGTTTCACCCACACTGGTCCTGCAGAGAGACTGTTGCTGGGTCCTCCTCTTGCCTCTCAGGGTGCAGCCCCAGCTGCCATCTCCCAGTGCCCGTGTGGTTCCAGGTGGGGCCCCAGACTCCCAGTGGGCACAGGGAGGGTGGGGATGTCACATGGATGTACACTGGAGTGTGAGTTCCTTGGCCTTCCAGCCAAGGTTTCAGGCAGGGTAATGGACCTTTGACCATGGGTGGGGCCATGCCCAGGTCCCCCCACTGGGCAGTAGGACCAGGACCTTCCCACGTGTAGGGAAGCAGGGGAATCTATGCGTGCTGCACATCTGACTCCCTCTGCACTTTTCAGGCCCCGATGAACCAGAAGAGAAGTCTGCATCAGGTGAGATGGCCCTGTGGGCAGATAGAGACTGGGTGGATTGTGGGTGTGAGGCCAGAGTGGACCAGCCCTGGGCCTGGTAGTGGTGGAGGTGCAGGAAGAGGGCTCTCTGGGGCCACAGAGAACTACCTGGGGTTCCCAGAACAAGGACATCAGGACGTGGGAGCTGAAGGAGGGGTGCCAGGTGTCCCCATGGCTGTCCTTGCTCTCCCAGATGTGTGTGAGCAATTGGTGCCACCCCGCATCCTGGAGAGGTTCACCCCCAAGAAAGTGAAGAGGGGCTCCAGCATCACGTTCTCAGTGAAGGTGGAAGGTGGGCATCCTCACTCCCCAGAGAAAGAGCACCCCCAGGGCCCCCATGCCACCCTCCCATGGGTCGCCCATGTCACCCTCCCACAGGCCACCCATGCCACCCTGCATGGCCTCCTGCTCCAACCCTCATATCACTCAGGCTAAGCACCCTCTTCTGGAGGCCCATAGCCAGTGGGGCTGTGTACCCACTGAGCCCTCTCCTGCCCACAGGATGCCCGGCCCCCACCATACACTGGCTCAAAGAGGAGGCCGAGAGAGGCGTGCTGTGGATTGGCCCTAACACCCCAGGCTACACTATGGCCAGCTCTGCCCAGCAGCACAGCCTGGTCCTGCTAGATGTGGGCCGGCAACACCAGGGCACCTACACGTGCATTGCCACCAACGCTGCTGGCCAGGCTCTCTGCTCTGCCAGCCTGCAAGTCTCAGGCCGTGAGTAGGGAGCCTGGGTGTGCTGAGGGACCAGCTTGGGATGTATGGCCTTCACCCACCTGTGATCCTTCTCCTGCAGAACCCAAGAGCAGTCTGGGCCCAGTGGTGCAGGCCAGTTTGGCCTGGAACCTCAGACCTGCCCAGATGGTACACAGATGGCCTGCGGGCCCTGCCCAGAGCCCTCTGTTCAGCCCCTCTGAGGGATGGTGCTTGGAGGGCAAGCCTGTCCCCCAACCCCATGGGTGACCAAGCACTGAGAATGGACAGGGAGGTGGGCTTAGGCACAGACCCTTGCCAGGGCTTCTTAGGGACAGTGCAGGCAGGGCCCCCAGGGTGGTCTAGATGTCCTGGGTAGAGGTCACAGCCCAGGACTCAAGGTGTCGGAGTGCAGGACTGGTCCTGACAGCTCCCCTGGCTCTCTGGACAGTGCCCAAGGAGGAGGAGCAGGAGAAGATGAAGGAGGCTCTCATTTCTACCTTCCTACAGGGGTAAGTGGGCACCCTGACTGACTTACCCAGTGGGCTAGGGTGGTGTAGCCCTGTGGGTGGTCACCCCCTTCCCTGTGCAGCTTTTCCACACTATAAAATGAAGTTTTTATGGACCCCTTCTGGTGTGGAGCCCCTGATTGTGGTGTCCTGGCCCCTAGGCCCCCCTCTATGGGGAGCAGAGTGGTGGGGTCCAAGCTGGGCTTGCAGGACACCCCTCCTCCCCTCAGGACCACCCAAGCCATCTCAGCACAGATGTCAGAGTCTGCTGGTCTCATCGGCCTTGCTGGGCAGAGGAAAGGTATGCCTGGGTTGGGTGCAGGGGAGGCCGCCCTTTGAACCTGAGCAGCCTGGGTTCTGGGCAGGTCCCTGCCCTCTCATGGCTAGCTCCCAGCTCTGGTTGTAGTCAGAGCTGTTTCTAACCTCTGTGGTCAGGGGGCCCATGCCCAGTGGGCTATGTGGAGGTTTGGGTTCCAGATGTTAAGAAGAGCCACAAAGTCACCTCAGCCCCAACAGCCCCAATCCCACCTCAAGCCTGATGCCAGGCTGGATCCTGCCCAGCCCTGTCCTCAGCTCCCTCACCATCTGCCTGCAGCCCTGCCTGCCACCTGCTGCCCCTTAGCTGTGCTTGCCGTTCTCTGGCCACTTGCTGCCTCTTCTGTTCAAACTTGTTCCCTTCATTCTCATCCCTGCTCTGCATCCTGCTGACCCCACTGGTCTCTTCCTGCTGGCACCACCTCATGGTCTCCCTGCCAGGGCCTGGTCTCCTGCTCACCATCATCCCCTAGGGGAATTGCGGTGAACTTTTGGGGGAAGCATGACCACACAGTGTTGTGTTTGCTCCTCCAGGGGAGGCCCTGGTGGCTGAGGAGGCCCACGGCCGCCTGTCCCTCGCTGAGGTGGGCACGGAGGAATTCCTACAGAAACTCACCTCCCAGATCACTGAGATGGTGTCGGCCAAGATCACACAGGGTGAGGGGGCCAGGATGGGCATCCAGGGTCCCCAGGGGAGGCTGGGACCCTGTGTCCTCACATGGGGCCTGGCCAGGACTCTGTGCCTGGGAGCCCTGGAGACTGGCTGGTGGTAGGCAGTAGGGGGACAGCCTTCCAGGGACATCACAACCCTTGTGTTCGCCCAGCCAAGCTGCAGGTGCCTGGAGGTGACAGTGATGAGGAGTCCAAGACTCCGTCCGCCTCCCCCCGGCATGGCCGGTCGCGGCCCTCCTCCAGCGTCCAGGAGTCATCCTCGGAGTCAGAGGACGGGGACTCCCGAGGAGAGGTGAGTTGGCTGGAACCCTTGGGAGCAGGGCTTGGGGCCTAACCTGCTGAAGAGACAATGTGGGGCTGCAAGGGCCGGGTGCCACCAAGGGAGGGGCATCACCCCCAGAGACACCAAGGGACACCAGAGGTTGGAGCAGAGGGCAGGGTCTCTGCACGTGGGTTCCTGCAGAGCACTACCTCTGATGTCACTCTCACTGCCATCTGTGGAGAGTGTGCCTCTGTCTCCAGAGCCCCACCACCTCTTGGGTTGCAGGGGGCAGTGGGCAGCAAGGCGCTGTGAGCAACCACAGTCTAGGCGCCCATCCACGTGGGCAGGAGCCAGCACCTGTGCAGAGTGACCCTGGGGGCTCCTCCCCTGTGGCCCTGGATTGGGTACCTCCTCGGCCCCTGGACTCAGCACCCTCCCCTCTGTGCTCTTGGGGGTTTTAGGGGATTGGGAGAACCTCTCCCTCCTCAGAGGTGGGGGGCCATGGGGGGCCTTGGCAGGCCTCGCCCCTCTGGCCCCGGGACTTAGGCCCCTTTCTCTTTATCAGATCTTTGATATCTACGTGGCCACGGCCGACTACCTGCCCCTGGGGGCCGAGCAGGATGCCATCACACTGCGGGAAGGCCAGTATGTGGAGGTCTTGGACTCAGCCCACCCGCTGCGCTGGCTTGTGCGCACCAAGCCCACCAAGTCCAGCCCCTCCAGGCAAGGCTGGGTGTCACCAGCCTACCTGGACAAGAGGCTCAAGGTATGGTAGTCTGGAGCTGGGGGAGGGTGCCAAGGCCCTGGGATCCTGGCCCTTGGCCAGAGAACCCTGGCAGTAAGGGACAGGAGCCCGGTGGCCACAGAGGAGGTGGAACAAACTGGTGCCCTGGGACAAACTCCTGTCTCTCAACAGCTGTCTCCTGAGTGGGGGCCCAGTGAGGCCCCCGAATTCCCCGAGGCCGTGTCCGAGGATGAGTACAAGACCAGGCTGAGGTATGTATTGGGGAGGGCCGAGGGTGGAGCCACAGCTGGCTGCTGGGCCTCAAGGGCCAGCTGGGGTTCTGCCCTCCTTCTTCATGGGGGACCTGTGCTTGCTGAAGCTGTGTGAGCCTCCTTAGGTCACGGTCCTGCCCCTGGTTTCTGCAGCTGTGCCCTCCCAGAGTCTCGTGCGGGAGGACTTCTTGGGGAAGAGGTGGTACCCTTGCTCTACCACCTACCCTTTCTGAAGCTGGGTGACAGGCTTCTGATCACAGGCACCCCGTTTAACTGCAGTGCGAGGGAGCAAGCTCTCCATGTGTCCCTAATCCCCATGTGGAGAGTAGGGACAGTGGGAGCAGGGCAGCTGCTGGGCCCCCCTGATGCCACCCTTCTGCCAGCTCTGTCATCCAGGAGCTGCTGAGCTCAGAGCAGACCTTCGTGGGTGAGCTTCAGTTCCTCCAAAGCCACTACATACAACAACTGGACCGTGCTCCCCGAGCGCCAGCAGCCGTAGCCAGCCAGAAGGCAGTCATTTTTCGCAATGTGCAGGACATCAGTCGCTTCCACAGCAGGTAGGCAAGGCCACACACATGCATGTGAGGTGCATGCACAGCTGTGGGTCAGGCCTCGTGGAGGGTGACACGCAGCAGCTGGGGTAGGAGCTCGATTTACCCATGGGCACATCCCACTTGTGTGATGCCCCAGTGACAGATGCTCGCCATATGGATTGAAGGCTGCAGAATTCCTGCCACCCATGAGCACTAACACAGGCCCATGTGCATGCACATGAATGCACACGGGCACACAGGAAGTCCCATGTGCACACCACATATGCTCACGCACCCAGCCTCAAATGTGCATGCACATGTGCTTGATATGCATGTGCACATAGTGTACATGTGTGCACACATACATATGTGAATCCTGTACAAAAAATATGCATACATGCTGGATACACATAGATATATGCACTCACAAGCATGCTGATCTCTATGCATGTGCACTCTTTCACACTCACACAGGCATTTGAGTGCACGTGTGTGCCATATGGACATCCACACACACACATTCAGGCAAACACATGCACACATACTATACACACATGCCACACATGCATGGCTACATCTGCACACTTGTGTATACATGCACAGTCACATGAATGCACACATGCACCCACACACATGCACATGTACATGCATGTACCCACGTACACATGCACACATACTACACATCTGCACACTCGTGGGCAAGTGTACATACCCATGCACTTCTGTACGTGCCCACGTGTCTGCACACCCAGCTTAGTATACTCAATCTCACAGGCCCAGAACCCACTCCTGGGCAAGAACCATAGCCTCTCAAGGAGAGGGCCCAGGACTGGGCTGTGAGCTGTGCCTGACCCTGTCCCTGACCCTGTCCCTCTCTGTGGCAGCTTCTTGCAGGACCTGCAGCGCTGTGACACAGATGATGATGTGGCCATGTGCTTCATCAAGAACCAGGAAGCCTTTGAGAAGTACCTGGAGTTCCTGGTGGGCCGTGTGCAGGCAGAGTCCGTGGTTGTCAGCATGCCCGTCCAGGAGTTCTACAAGGTGCCCGTGCCTGGTTCCATGGCGTTGGCCACCGGGCCCCTCCCTGGCTGCTCCCAGGCCTAGTGCTAGCCTTGACTCCCACCAGAAAACTCACTGACCTGAAAGTCCCCTGAGGCTTAGCCCTTAGCTCATGGCCTTAGTTCATATTCCCTTATCTCTCCCCTCAGTCCCCAGGGCCCCTTGAGCCTTGTAGCTCTGTGCTCCTGGGCTGGCCACTTCACTGCCCAAGTCCTGTGCTTGCCACCAGCTAGATGGTAACACAGCCATTACCCAGGTTCAGGGCCAGGTGTGAGAGTACCCCTGGGATGTCCTATACTGTCAGGATGCCCTCACTGGGGCTGTGCCTTCTTGCCCGAAACCCGCCCTGCGGTGCCTACAGAAATGCGCTGAGGAGATGCTGTCTGCTGGGGACCCCTCGCAGCCACCCCCACCCCCACTGCAGCACTACCTGGAGCAGCCGGTGGAGCGGGTGCAGAAGTACCAGGCTCTGCTCAAGGTGGGCAGCCCTGTCCTGCCCCAGCCCTGAATGTCCAGGCCGGGCCTCGGGGCTGAAGCGGTCTGGGTCCTGACCCTTGGTCCATCTCAGGAGCTGATCCGCAACAAGGCCCGGAACCGGCAGAACTGCGCCCTTCTGGAGCAGGCCTACGCAGTCGTGTCGGCGCTGCCCCAGCGTGCCGAGAACAAGCTGCACGTGTCCCTCATGGAGAACTACCCTGGCACCCTGGAGGCCCTGGGGGAGCCCATCCGCCAGGTGGGGGGACTTGCGTCTGCTGCCATGTGGTTGGGTGTGGCTTTGGTGGATGCTGGGCTCATAGATGACCCTGGGGTCTGCGCCCAGGGATGGGCCAGGCAACCACAGTCCAACCGCATCTACTCACACCCCAGGGCCACTTCATTGTGTGGGAGGGCGCACCAGGGGCCCGCATGCCTTGGAAGGGCCACAATCGCCACGTCTTCCTGTTCCGGAACCACCTGGTGATCTGCAAGCCCCGACGAGACTCGCGCACCGACACCTTCAGCTATGTGTTCCGGAATATGATGAAGGTCTGTGGTGCCAGGAGCTGGGGGTGTCATGCAGGCCGGTAGAGGTTTCCCTGTTCCTGGGCTCCAGGGTGGCCACTGGAGCAGAACTTGCCATTGTTCTGGGGTGACCTGGGCATGGTCCTACTGGACCCTGTCTGTCTGGGGATGCTTAGCTCTGTCCTCCCACTAATGTTGCACCCCTCAACAGCTAAGCAGCATCGACCTGAATGACCAGGTGGAAGGGGACGACCGTGCCTTCGAGGTGTGGCATGAACGGGAGGACTCTGTGCGCAAGTACCTGCTGCAGGCGCGCACAGTCATCATCAAGCACTCCTGGGTGAAGGAGATCAGCGGCATCCAACAGCGCCTGGCCCTGCCTGTGTGGCGTGAGTGTCCCTGGTGCTGTGCTGGGGTGGGGACCTGAACATCACTTAGATGCCCAGCTGGCTGCACCCATGCCAGGCACGTGGGCATGGGTTGCTTTCTGCACTGGTGTCTTGGTTCTCCCCTTGGTCAGATCTAGCTGAGGGAGCGGTGGCTTTGGCCTCCCAGGGAGCCCCAGAGCAGGAGTTGAGCTGACCCTGACCCAAATGGGGGACACAAAGGGATGTAGTGGGGACACGGCATAGCTCCAGACTTGGGGCATCTGACCAGGTCATGTTTGGGTGTGATGGTCTTGCACCCTGGTCTGTCCCTGCCTCGTGCAGCCACACCCAGCTTAGCCAGTAACCAGGCCCTTGGATATGGGGCCACTGCTGTTGTTGGGGGCAACTTGTCAGGATGCACCCAGGGGACATAGGCCTGACATCCCACCCTCAGAGTCCTCAGACCCCCACGTGTGTCCTCAGGTCCACCGGAATTTGAAGAGGAACTGGCTGACTGCACGGCTGAGCTGGGGGAAACAGTAAAGCTGGCTTGCCGCGTGACTGGCACACCAAAACCCACTGTCAGCTGGTACAAAGGTACCTGCCAGGGCCTACAGACTGACCCTTCACAGGAACCCCCACCAGGGGTGGGCTGCACAGGGGCTGAGGACAGCATGGGGTCTGGTCAGTGGGCTGGGCATGGGGAACAAGAGACAATCCAGGCCTGTTCAAGGGCAAACATCCTGGGGATGGACAGTGAACAGGTAAGTCAGGTGGTGCCATGGCCACCCGGGGGAATGAGCAGGGTGAGGAGTCAGCACAGGGCCGAGACAGACGTGCCTGAGGGCAGCCGAGAGAGCACCAGGACCACAGAGGAGGCCACAAGCAGGCACCTGGGTGCAGGAGAGGCCTGTGAGCTTAATGGGCCAGGAAGGGTGCTTATCACACTGCACCTTCAGGGTCACGGAGCACAGGCCTTACGTGGCTCAGGGATGGGAGCTGCCAAGGTCAAGGGAGGTCAGGTGTCTCCCAGGCCCGTCTCACTTGACACTGCCACAGGCTTGGGGTCCCAAGACCACTCTCACTTCTGACGTCCAGTTCACTGGTCCCCAAGGTTACCTTCAGGTTCAGTGATTCACCAGAAGGTTTTGGAGTTCAGAGCTATTATGCTCAGGGTTAGGGTTTACTTCAGCATAAAGACAAGACTGCAGCCCCTGAGAAAAAAGAAGAGCACTTTGGGAGGGTCCAGTGTCACTACTTATGAGCTGCCAGCCGTCCGCTCCCAATGCAGCGAGGAAGAGCATCTTCTCCTCCCAGTGACACCTGAGAACACAAACAGACCTATGCCAACCAGGAGGCTTAATGAGACTTGACATCAGCATTTGTCACTGGGACTCTGTCAGACCTGCATGGCTGACCGCTCATGTAGCTGACCTCAGGCTCTAGTCCTCCTGAAGTCAAGATGAATGGCCTGAAGCCCACTATGAATCTCACGTTAGCATAGAAGACAGCATGGAGCTCCACTAGGAAGCTCATTGTTAGTGTAGACGCCAGTGTGGCCTGGGTCATCCATCAGGAATCTCCTCATTGGTGTAGATGCCAGTGTGGCCCAGGAATCCCGTTGTTGCCATAGACACCAGCGTGGCCCTAGTCATCCACTGGGAATCTCATCAAAGGTGTAGACACCAGCATGGCCCAGGTCACCCACAGGAATTTTGTCATTGGCGTAGATGCCAGCATGGCCTGGGTCACCTACTAGGAATCATGTTGGCGTAGATGCTGGCTTGGCCTAGAGCATTCATCGGGAATCTCATTATTGTTAGAGATGCCAGCATTGCCCTGGTCACCCACCAGGAATCTCATCATTGGCATAGATGCCATCGTGGCCTGGAGCATCCTCCAGGAATCTGTTCATTGGTGTAGACACAGCATGGCCTGGGTCACCTACTAGGAATCTCGTCGTTGGCATAGACACTGGCATGGCCTGGGTCACCTACTAGAAATCTCCTCAATGACATAGACACAGAATGGCCTGAGAATCCCCCCAGGAATCTCATTGTTGGCATAGATGCCAGTGTGGCCCAGGTCACCTACTAAGAATCTCCTCATTGACATAGATGCCAGCGTGGCCCGGGTCACCCACCAGGAATCTGCCAGTTGGTGTAGAGGCTAGCATGGCCCAGAGCCTTCTCTATGAATGCCATTGTAAAATAGAGTGTCCAGTCTGGCCCTGAGCCACAAACCTGTAGGCTAGCTGATCTGTTGTGGCCCAAGGTTCCAGAAAATCCGAGGCTCTTCCCTGGCAGACTGTTCTCGGGTCCTGAGGCACCTTGCTGGTGCTAGGGATCAACATGATTCCTTTGGGCAGCATGGAGCGTTGACTACATGGAAACCCCATGGTGTTGTGAGCAGCAGGGGGCATAGTTCAGATCTGTCATCTGTCACCTTGGGTGTAAGTGCCAAGGGCCTGCTTAGGGACATGGCATCATGTTGGTGGTGGCCATGGTTGCATCCTGGATGCATTTTGAAGGCAGAGCCAGCCAGATTTGCTGATGGGTTGCATGGGGTGTGTGGAAGAGAGATGGGATCCAGGAAGCAGCACAGGGGGTTGTGGACAGCAGAGGCCACTGGTCCTATTCACAGAGGTGGAGCAGACCCACAGGGAGGCAGGCCGGTACATTCTGAGCTGGGCAGGGAGGAAAGAAACCCAGATTTGTGAGGTTTTGAAGAATCCAGGTGCCCATAGGGCTCCAGGTGGTTATGGAGGGGATAGCTTGAGAATAAATCTAGAGCTTAGGAGAGATGTCTGGCTGGAGGTGAGAGATGGCAGGCGGGTCCTTGGCATACAGTGTGTCTGAAACTATAGGTCAGATCTAGTGCACAGCCCCCAAAACAATCCCAGCAGCTCAGGAGACTGAGGCAGGAGGATGCAAGTTCAAAGCAGCCTCAGAAACCTAGCGAGGCCCTAAGCAACTTAGTAAGACCCTGTCTCTAAATAAAATGTAGAAAGGGCTGGGGATGTGATTCAGGCCCTTGGGTTCAATCCCTGGTGCCAGAGAGAGAGAGAGACTGAGACTGTAGTCAGTTTGAATGTGGAATGAGCGTGAAGAGATGAGGTTCCGGCTTCAAGGCTTGGGATCTGGGATTCACAGAGTCAGAGAGGTGAGGAACATAAGTGAAGAGCCGGCGAGCCAGAGAGATGGGAGGGATCCCAGGAAGCCAGCAAGGAAGGGCAGCCAGGCAGATGAGAGGCCCAGGAGCGTGCCCAGCGCTCTGGCAACAGCCCCCCAAACAGCATAGGAATGGGATCCAGAAGCTTCCCTTGTGCAACTAGGGTGAATGTAGGCGCGGCGTAGCTGCCGTGGCAGTGGCAGGTTGAGCTAGAACCATGCGAAACGGCCATAGCCCATGAGTTGGAGACTCCCTGGACGCCAGATGCTTC